CTTTTCGAACAATTGGTTCAATACTACCCACAATCTTGCCCTTACCAGAACAGATCTTATTGACCTCCTAAACGTAGCCACCAAAGGCCAACTATTTCAATTTAACGGAGCTCTATACGAACAGACAGATGGCGTTGCTATGGGGTCCCCTCTCGGGCCCTTATTAGCAAACGTCTTCATGTCATCCATCGAAGATACCCTTGAGCGACAAAGAAAACTCCCATCCTATTATCGTCGATATGTTGATGATACACTCACTGTAATGCCTGATCTAGCAACAGCAACTACCTTCTTGCATACCCTCAACAGCGCCCACACTTCGGTCAAATTCACCATGGAGGTGGAGAAGAACAGCAAGCTTCCTTTCCTTGGCACCGAACTACTCAACCATGCACCTCGGATTGAAACCAAGGTATATGTGAAACCAACAAACACGGGCCTACTATTACACTACCAAAGCCATGTAGACAATCGCTACAAACGGAGCTTGCTGAAAACTATGCTGGATCGCGCACACCGATTATCTTCCTCCTGGGCCCATTTCTCTGATGAGTGTGATCGCCTAAAGAAAGTTTTCGCACGGCTTAAATACCCGGAACGCCTGGTAAATTCTACCATTAACACCTTCTTACAATCAAGAATTGTTGGTACGCAGCCCACACAGACGCCCAAAGAACCAATATCCATTGTTCGTGTGGTCATACCTTTCAAAGATCAGGAATCAGCAAATTATGTTAAGAAAGAGCTCAAGAATCTTAGCATGAAGGTGCAGACAACTGTCCAGCCAGTATTTGTTAGCCGCAAAGTTGGCCAAGATCTTAAAGTACGAGAAATCAAGCCACAGATTGTCAACCAACAACGCGTCGTTTATCAATTTCAATGTGACCTGTGTGATGCGGGTTATGTGGGCTATACACGCGGACACTTACACACACGCGTGGATGGACATAAACGAAAGGCATCTTCAATATATAAACACTACCACGAACGGCACAGCGAAGTCCCGAAAGACCTACTGAAACGTTTTAGCATTCTGAAAAAGTGTAGTAACAAGTTCGATTGTTTGGTGAACGAAATGCTTTTCATCAGAGACTTAAAACCCACTCTGAACGTGCAAAGCGATTCAATTCGCGCAAAAGTATTTGTTTAATTAGCTCGTAACATATTTATGCTAATTTAGTGTTACACCTTGCCACAAACTTCATTTTTTATTTCTCCTTGACAATGGCGTCGTGATGACACCGAAACGTCGGTTTTTATCGTTAGTTTTTGTATTCATTTTGACATCGATAAAACTGGAGTAAGCATTCTTTCTGTCTCTCCCAAATCTTGCAGCTGTTTTTGACGCATGCATGGTATTCTTGGAGGCATCGTTGGAAGTTAAAATTTATAGATCATTGATCGAAAGATTAATCTAAATTAATCGAACGTTAGAAAGATTTAGTTAGATACCAGTGGTGTTCTCTGATTGAATTAAATACTCCTGTTGGGTAAGACTTTAGTCCAACATTTTAAAGCCCAAAAGTTTCCTTCTAAGAGGATTTTCAAAATGGTATATATCACCTTTTTTAATCCCTCGTTCTCCGCGGCAGTTTCCGTGTCACATACCTGACCGTTTATCAGTGACACTGATTGATTAAAAAACTCGATTTAAACCTGCATGCTATAAGTAATAATGTCAGTGTCAGTAACCTGGAATGGGTGTATGGTGGGTTTGATGGTTTAGCCTGACTCCTCCTTTCCTTCGTCGTCCTCCTCTTCGGCAACAAGAGGCCATAAATCATTGACGTTATTATTTTCAGTCCGATCTTTCTCTCTTTGTGCTTCAAAGACTTCATCATCGGTTGAAACCAATCCCAGAGCGAAAAATAGATAAAAACAAAACAGAAACCTCATGACTGAGATTTGAAACAACGAGTAATTTTGCCCACTCAATAAACCTGTCACAGAACGGTGCTCACGAGTTCAGGAAACTATGGGTGGGCTGTGCAAGATAATCTGTGTCAGCATGGTCCTGTTTGATCTTTATTTACACGGTTAGGCTTTAAACGACTCTTCAAGTTTTGTCCGCTTTTGCATACGCAAAAATAATCGCAGCGGGCGTGATATAACATGTCCGTTCAATCACTCTACGAAATAAATACGGATGAATATAACATGGTTCCATGGCATTGAAGCTCACGTGTTTGACTCCTTTGTATAATTTAAACAGATTCGTTTGAACAGCTTATACACAGTTTGGTTACAAAATGTTTCGTTATATTTATGAATACGTTTAATACGTTGTTAGTTGTCCTACGCGTTCACTGGCGGTAAGGTGTGTTCAATACTCCACCCTTAAAATGTCTAAACGACATGCTACCGTCAACTTAACAAATCGACAGTGGCTTAGCGTGGTCTGTATTCTTATCGACAACGATATTCGTCATCACAGTGGTGAAATTGTGGTGCACTCAGGAGGCACAGCAGAGTAAGTCCGCAATAAATTTTTTGTAACAAATTTTGTCCACAACAATTTGGTTTTTTACCACATTATCGCGATCAAAATTTCCGAGTCATCCACGTTTGAGAGCTGATTAAGTCATTGCGAGACACGGTGACGCAAGCAGCGTTGTTTTTACTCTTAATGACAAAGGCAAATTGGTGAATCAGGCTGTGACATTGCTGCCAATTCTGTTAAACAATAATTCACACCTTTTTCGGGCACTGTGGTTCATTTTGTGGGCTAAACTGGAGATTTTGTCTTTAAGCGTAGAGGAGGGGGGGTGGTAGAGGGTGAATTATTGCTGTAAAGGGCTAGAGCCCCCTTGCTCTCGAAACCAACAAAACATGCGTTGTTCTCCTTGTAAAAAAAAGGAGCGGTTCTGACCATCAGTGAATTAGTAGATTTTTTGAGCTAGGCTTTCACTTCAAAAATTTCGATGGATTAATGCGGTCTCTGGTTTTAAGCTATGGGCTTTGGTTTTATGTAGTGATTGTAAGGGTGGGTTGTCCTTTGTGCACAATGGATACCCAACGCGAATTCAAAATTCTTTTTTCGCATGATTTTGTATTCACTCAACGGCAAAAATATTTACCAAATATATTTCGCACTGATCAACTAAAAATAGACCTTACGATGATTTTAAGAGAGAAATAGATAGCTTTCTAGACCATGTAATGAAAACAAGAGATCACATCGCCCTTATTTCAGACTGTTTTTATTGTCGCCAACTAATTTGCAAGAGTTCCATTCCTTTAATTCCTTGCATTAAGTGTCCTCATTCAGGCTTATGCCCGTAACATATTTTGAGCCTCCTCATACACTCTTCCTTCCCGAGAGCTTCAAAACATCCTTGGTTACGGAACTTCTTCCTGCATATACGCTGCAAAGCAGATTAAATAAAGTGAGACGGCGACTGAGCGCGTGTCGCTAGCCCAAACTCAAGAAAGAAAATTTAAAGAAGATTGTCTTAGACAACTCTCCATTCCCATTTCTCTGGAAACGGTTACCATCTCGCGAAGCTGGAATGTATGGGACCTGCGCCACTTGTGAGATTTATTTTGCAATTATCGTCTTTTAGGTTGTCTTTGATCAGAGCTGACACATTTATGCATGTTGATTTTAGTCAATGGTGTATGCTTGTAAATCTTTTACTTACCGTATAGGCATTTAGGCATTCATAGTATTTAGGTATGCAACCGAACTGATCATCGCCCTCCGTGGACTCCACACATGCGTTCCACTTATCCAAACAAACCTAATCACAAACAGTGACTACAGTTAAAACAGAAGGCTTATCGTATCGAATTGTAAGGTTTAAGTATGAATAGGCCGCATTCGATTGAACTAGCCATAGTGATCAGCAAATAAAACCAATGTATTCCTGGATTATTTTCGAAATTCAACCGAAAATTTCTTTGATCAAAAGGTGCTGGTGGTTGCTTTCAGTTTGAACGTCTCTACCTTTTCTTATACGTGTACATTGAAAGCCAGCCCCACCCAGTTGCTTTTTAAGATCAAGAGAAGAGCTTTTAAAACTCACCTGTAGTTCATGTTTATCTCCTGGTGGTTGAGGCCCTGGTGGTTGAGGCCCTGGAGGTTCTGGCCCTGGAGGTTCTGGTCCAGGTGGTCCTGGTCCCGGTGGCGGGGGGGGTGGTGGTTCTTCGGCCAATACAAGGCTAACCGCGAGGATCACAGCAAGCGGGATAAGAGTCTTCATGTTAGGAATCGATTCTCTTCTCCACTAATCACACAGTAAGTTACAAAGGTATCTGATCAGCTAGTACACCTCGTTTAAATACTCGAAGAGTGATGGTGTGGACCAATCTGAGGTGATCCTCTTTCAATACTCACATGGGTTCGGGAAAATTTTGTGATTGGTTAATAGGTTATTAGGCTGTAGAGTAATAGTACCAGCTGTTGTTGTGTGAGGAGCTGTTTCAATAAGAATTCGCCCAGCTATCTGGATGTTTGGCCGGCTGCGTTTGCGGGAGTTGGACATCTGCTTGCAACATTTTTCTCTCGAAGCTTGACTGTGACTAATTTCTTTGTTTTTTTAATTTTTTTTTTAGTGAGAAAAGGACAAGGATTTTCCACCTTTGGCCCAGAAGCACAAAATCCAAAGGGGTATCAGTTGAACGCATAACAATTTTTCTTAGAGACAATCCAACCCAAACACTTACGTATTCAATCTAGTAATCAACTGAATGACATGGTGATAGTATCAGAATATAACAACTGGAAGCAAGAACCTTAACCGCTTATTACAATGTAAAATCTGTGTTTCAGGCAAAGGTGAAATCAATATACTCAAACATTGGAACCTTTAGATGCCACCTGAAGCAAAATGTCAGAGTGTTTGGTTAGCAATGTCAATATTTTTTCCTTTAAACAGGTGCCGGGAAAAACTAACGAAACTTTTTGGTGTTTTTTGTAGCCTTTACTTCACTCCAACTTATCAAAATACATTTCTTGCAATACATACTGAGAATATTTTATCGGTTTTTTTCTAAAAGATATATTTTATTTCTTTATTTGTTTCAATTAATTCCTAAAATACATCATATTTAATCATATGCCTATGCATCTGATAACCATTTATTGGTGCTATAAGTACTTGGTAGGTAAAATTATTCAATGGCCATCAATACTTCCAAACGACAGATTAGTTGTAATAAGGACTAAAATTAGACTAAAATACAGGGCACGGAAAAAGATAAAAGGAATAAAAAAAAAAGACCACAAATAAAAATTTGAAAAAAGATGACTGCGCTTATGAGTTAGTAGCTTGAGCTATCTGAACTATGTTTTCCCTTTCTTCGGAATATAACCTCTGCATTGGACATAATTCTTTCTTTGATAAAGGGTGGATGTGAACGTTATTTTCACAACGATATTCCGTAGCGTTACTAGGAAATTAAATTCATACAGTGGATACAGTATGACTCTCTCCAATGTTTTCATTTGAAAAGAATTGAAATTACTTCAACCGCCATAACTCATATTAAACGACTGATGACTGAGAAAGTTCGATTGATATTGCTCACGTTTAGTATTATCCTTAAATTTGATTCAAAGTAGATGTCTTCATGTTACGAAGTAAGGAACGCTTAAAATGATTGACCTTCCTAAATATCGAAGCTAATTTACAATTATGGCATCAATCTTTAATTATATGTCCCTTAACTTATCTATCAAACTGTTGATAACTAATCATTTCCATTCTTAATAAACTGCAAGCTACTGATCCCATTCATGCTCGCTCATTGGAATCATCCTGATGAAGAAGAGAAAGGTTAGGAACTATATAGTAAGTAAAGGTCAGGCTCAAACATATAATTCTAATTTTTAGTAATGTCCTTGTCCTATTCCACTTTTCTCTTTGCCCAAGTGTCCTTCTCTTTTTTTTAGATAAGATAATTTTTGCAGACCTGACATATATTTGGAAACATCTCTGGTGAGCAGAAAATAACCTTTTCTCATTGTTGCTGGTTTCATATGATATCGGGTCTCTTGATGATGGAAATTACGCTTAGGCTAGAAATCTATATATATTAGGGCTAATTCATAAGATAACAAACCTGAGACAACAGCTATTAGAAACAGACTTGGCAAGATCGCGGACACACTCTCTGCACAGACTGTGCATCAATGATATCGTTTCCCTTTTCACAAAGGTTGTCCGTAGTCCATTGTTTGCACAGGTCGTGGTGGTCTTTGCAGTATTCAGCTGTGGCAGTGATGGAAGGAATTCGGCTAAATATATGTTCCGCATAACATGCACCTCTGTTGTCCCAGTATTTTTGGAACTCCTCAACAGAGAGACTATTAACGTTTTCAGGAAAGATAATTTGCACCAAAAGAGTATGGGAAAAATGACTTTGTCCATAGAAATACTCCTTGAGATTCTGTTGTTTTTTTTTTTTTATACTTTTGGAAAATGGCAGTCAATTGTGATGAAGCGTTTTAGGTAATACTTCGAGAGAGTAACATACCATCTCAAGAATAATCCAAAAAGGGTGTATAACGAGGATGGTTAAATTGAAGGGAAAGGGTAGATGTAGAAGTAAATCAATCTGGCATACACATTTAATGTGATAACCATGGAAATACTTACTATCATGGTGTCCATTTATATTATAGATGATGGATCTGTAAGCAGCCCTTACGTCTTTCTTTGTTCCTCCAAGGCGACGTATCAAAGAATAAAGCTTTCTTCTGATATCCTGAAAAAAGTGACCCAACTATTACATGACGCTTAAGGATTTTTGTAGGCAGCCTTGTAAGAAGGGCCATTCAATGCTTTGGCTTGCACGTAAAACTATAACAATGAAAAGTGATGTAACTTGTAATAACTTGTAATAAATGTAAAGAAATTTTTCTTTTCTGTAGTTTTCTGTAATACCACATTTTCATGGCTAGTCAAGGTTTAATGTTCTTGATGTCGGCCTCGGGCAATTTCTTACAATCGCAACGCATAGCTATTCATTGTTAGGTTCCTATAAAACGAAATCGAATTTTCGCTATAGGGCGATGATTATTAAAGGAAACAAAAAATCACTTATGAAAAATACAAAGATAGAATCCTGGTACAATTACCTTCCTGAGCTTTTCTTTCTCAATTTCATCTTGCTGTGACTTATTTGTTGCGGTTGAATTATGTTTTATTACATCTTGAAGCTCTGTGCCGCCATTTTCCAAATTGCTTTGTTGGCGAATCATTTTATATTGATCCAACTGCTTTAAGGTAGCCGCCAGCTTACTAGTGTTTCCTTCTTGTTTCATGGGTGGACTTACTGTCATTTCCTTGCCAACATTTAAATCATGTTTAACCTGTTTAATTCCAGGGAGTGGCTGCACTTTATTCGTAATGGTTTTATTGGCAGCAGTAGCTGAATCAGATCCCATTCGACGTTGGTCAAGATCTGTATCTTAAGAATGATAAGTATTTCGTTACAAAATTATTATCACTTATGATATTTTTTAGCGACTAAAGCTCTACACTAAATGGTGCATACATAGATAGGCATATTGAGACCATTAAATGTTTTGAAATCCTGACTTATACGCTCTTTGAGAATGTTTTAAAAATATAATACACTTTTTACCTGAATCTGGTCTTGTAATAAGTTTCCCTCCGACAGCTGTAGATTCATAAACATTAAATCATGTAAGTAATTTCTCCAGATAGTTTCATAAATATTAAATCATGTGAGTAATTTCTCCGGATCACAATATTTCGAAGCTTTCTGAACAAGAGTTCATTGTGGCTTTATGTCTGTTGACTGCTATGGTCTTTATTGCATGAAAACTTAGTGATATGCTGTTAAACCTCAGTAACAGCTTGTTAACGTTTAAAGCGATCTTGGTAAAAGAATGAGGGCGTTTCCTTTTTGTTAATGTGGTACTTAGCTCGTCCCAGCCGGCTAACTGCCTTCAGAAATCTTACTCTTCTTTTAGGAAGTGTCTGTAATATAGTATAAGTTATCAACAAAGAATACTAAACAATTCTTGGTATTAATTAAAGGTACAGAAATAGTCTCCACAATTAAAAAACTCAGCATCATTTCTGTTTTTTTTTTTCGCTTACATAGTTCTTACCTCTGCACATTCTAAAGGTAAGTAGTGGTCTAATCATAGGTAGCAGCTCATATTTGGATACAGCCAACACGTGATCTTGTGCAGGATGTGTTGCTATCTCTTTCAGCTGCCCACCTTCAAACTCAGATCCAATCCCCACAGCCTCAATTCGAACACCTCTGTCTCGCATCTCACGTGACGGAACAGCAATGTCATCAATTGATGGTGTAGTGGCCAGGACGAGAAGGAGTTGAGGGATACTTTTACGACCACTATTCTTAAACCAGCTGGTTTTTATGCCGGTTAAACTTGATCCTGTGAAGAGTAACGAAGGATATATCGAGGAAAATTTCAAATAATATATCATACCCCCATTTTTTCCCTAGCCATGGCAAGGTTACTTGCTAAATCTCCACATCGAGTTGAAAAATTTTTATACATAGATATAGCGTAGGTACTCATAAAGCTAAATTGTTGATGGTGGAAATCACTTTTGTGAGGCTGCTCATCAGGTAACTCTCCGGTAACCTCATAATATCTTGTTCAAGCTTAAACTCGTAAATGGCAGAAAATGGGAATGCTGATTGTCCATTTGTGCCTATTACCTAACAAAAATGGTCCACCATTATATGATATTCGGGATATTGCTGTGTCGAGGCTAGGAATGTCATTGAATCCCTCGAAATCGAAACTCATTCGCGGTCCTCTGGACGCGGTGGCAACTGCAATGTGGGTGTGATCCTTAGACACTGAGAACGATTTAGACAGGCCCTTCGTAAAGTCCAACAACTTTTCGAACTTAGCTTCCGTTACTGATGATGAGCCATCTATCAAGATTCCAATGTCGGCTTTAGCGGAGCAAACTGTAACACGGGAATTCATCATTAATAGGGTGTTGAAGGGGGAGTAAGACAAACATGTTTGTGAAAGGAAAATGAAGTGTGAGATTTGGGAAACTGGCTATCTAAGGAATAAACTAAAGATCGAGAGTTGGAAAATACATCTTCTGTGAATTTGTCTCCAAGTACCTTTCCATCAATATATGAATATTGACAGGAAAACGTTGAGAGCGTAGTAAGAGGTAAGGTGACGCAGAAGAAACAACAAATTGAATAAATATAAGATACAATGAAAATATCTGGCCAACACAAAAGACTTACTTTTATTTGCAAGGTCCTTTACTGGAAAGTGTTTGTTATTAGATCCTGGAGTGTTCTCTAAAATGAAAAACGAGACTGAGAAATACAAATGACTTCTAGATTTTTGAAGTGGAAATAAAGATTACAAATGCATAAGGTACTTTTTCACTCTAAAATCAGAAAGACCTATTGCGTTTATCAGGGGCGGATCCAATAATTTTTGATTGAGGGGTCCAAACTTTGGTTCAGAAAGGACTGTTGGACTCTTTTGAGGCAAATTACTTCTCCTCCACACCCCCTCCTACCAGTCGCGGTTGCACGTTATAATTCCTTGGTCGCTTACCGTTTACTTGGATTCATTAAAAAGATCAGTTAGTTAAAAGTGATATACGATCCTGTCGATGTAAGAATTTCAATTTCAAAGTTGTAAGCGTCAGGTCTGTTAGGGGGGGGGGGGGGCCGGATCCCCGGACCCTCCCCCTGGATCAGCCACTGGTTTATTGACCTCCAACAATTTTGGTCACAATTTTGGTTATCTTCATCAGTAAATGCGACAAAAATTTAAGAACTCCATACCAATAGTTACTGAAAAACCAAGTCTGTTTAGATTACAATATGCGAATGCCTCCAACAGAAGTTCGAGTTACTAGATTCCGCGCAGGGGAGTCGACTTCTCCTCTTCTATTCACATGACATCCATTATCGTTCACTAGTTTTTAGGCTAATAAAAACCGGAAGGTTATTTTTATGCTGATATCTTTTGCCATTACGAATCTGCAGGGTATACAGATTATATCATTGTATTCCTTGCTTAATGACTACATAAGGGAAATTTGAATCCGTTTGCTATATTTTGTGAAAGTAGGGAAGAACGTGAACGTGACAGAATATCTATCTTGGACCGTCTGAGTTATTCAAACATCTCTATAGGGTCGTTTTGTTCGATTTTTTCCTCTTTGGTTATGTAAAAAAAAAAAACAACAAACAAACAAACAAAGGAATTGAATAATTACTGTACCTGTTGTCATATTTGCACTGTTGTTGTAATTTGTACTTGACTCTTCAGTTTCATCATGTTCCTCATCTGGAGACACCCCACTCTGAGAGACTGACTTCGGTTCCGTCTTGTACATTTTACATGTTTCTCTGAACGGGTCCATCGTTCTGTTATCTTTGGAGCCACTCTCGAACAGTGTATCTAAGATGCTTGAGTGATTTGACGGTGGATCAAACATCGCGTCCTCGAAGGTGTCATCATTGGTTGGAGTGCTTTCTGCTTGTGCTTCTTTTTTATCTGTAGCATCATGGCTAGTGATGGGCTTGCGAATAGCATGCACTGAGAAAAAGATATGAGGCATATGTTGCTTACTTTCTAGATGTAAAATTTATACCCAATGGGATCAGTTGCAAATAAGTGCAACCTCGCTCATGAACTTTACGGGCATATGGGATCTTTCAAAAAGTAAATTTGACATGGAAAACATAATGTTGAATTATGAATAGATAATTTCTGCATTCTGTTTTCTTGTCGATTTCACTTTGACATAGCTTCTATGATAGGAGAAGTGCCATGAAGGGCTCATCGAGTGAAGTTTTAAAATGAGTATGATCTCATCGCGCCAGCTGCACTTAACGTCAACATTTTTCTCGATAACGCATAATTTTTTACTCTTTTTGGACACCTATATTGTTTGTCTGTTTGTTTTTGTTCGTGTATTATCTCTAGAAAGGGAGAGAGAGGAGACAGCGAAAAAGAAAGAAAAAGAAAAGCATGTCCTTCTACAAATCACTGAAATAGATCTCCATCTTTACCATTCGTCTTCCCACGAAAAACAGATGGATTGAGCTATTAACCCAGAATGAAAACCATACAACACTAAGCAGGTAACTAATGTATCAACAGAGGCTTGTCATCTAAGCCACATTTACTAATTTGCGAATTAGGCTAATTAAAAGGAGATAAGAAAAAGCAACCAGGACTCTCAAAAAAAGAATGAGGCCAACCATTAGTTTTCTTCTTTTTTGTTGCTCTCCTTCTTTTTCTGAGTAAAAGCTTTTTTAAAAGGGTGTTCAATCCACCGCAATAATGCTTCTCGTAAATTTGAGCAACTACTTTGCTTGCAAGTTTTACAGCCTCCTTAAAGTCACCATGATATACATGTGTTGAACTCGGGTAACTGGCAATTTTTGCCAATTGACCAAGTGAAATCTTGTTTCCGAACCCAACAGCAAATATTTCCACGCCACTTTCCTCAAGTGACTTCAAAGGTTGTGTTACGTCATCTGAAGACTTTCCATCTGTTACCACAATCAAAATGTGAGGGACGTTAGGTCGGCCACTAGGATTTAAGACAAGTTCTTTCACATCAGTCAAACCTTGGCCTATTTTCTGATCACCAAATGGAAGCGGTATAAGGCCAATGGCAGTAAGTAAAAGTGTCTTTTTAGTAAGTCTGTTGAAGTCTACAACAACGTGAAACGTTCTTCCCTCCACGACAAGTCCAAGCCTTGATTCCGTTTTTGAGACGTCAAAAGCATCAACCACATATTTCATAAACAAAACAGTGCGAATCCAGTTAGGAACACCCATCTTCCCAGAGCTCTGAACAAGAAACACGAGATCCACCTTGTTAGCCCGTGGACCTGCGAGGTAATAGATTTTGTTGGATTCCTCACTCAGGGACATTTGGCTTCTTATCTCTACACTGACAGGGAAACAACGTCACGTGTTGGATAAATTGATCCAGTTGTACCTCTGATCTGTGCAAATTTTTGATTAACTGACATTATAGTTCAATGAACAAAAACCTACGGGGGTTACCTTCTTTATTTTCCTCAATCTTTGGCTGCTTCGGTGAAGGTATAGCTGCAGAGACAATTTTCTGTTATTAATTTAAGTTTCTCTAGCTTTTCCGTGTTAGGGGTTGACGGTGGGTTCTACGTTTAGTGAAGACGTTGTTCTTTATTCTTTTTGTACAGTCGCTTACTCAGGCAGTCAAAGTTTATGAGCAATTTGAAATGAAATGCGTAAATGAGGAGTTTGTTATAAACTTGTCTCCAGCAAAAATGTTCCACCGACCACGATTGTACGAAGTAAAAAGCCCCGAAAATTCTTCATGTTAAACCGGTGGATAAATTCGAAATAGTAATTAAAAAAGATACGCAAAAGTGACTCCGAGCAGGGAACGCTTGACACTTCAAACATACCTTTTCACGAACCAGAGAGCTTTGTGCCAAAGTGTGGACCAACTCTAATTTCACCTTCTTTATCGAAACCTGACATCTTGCAACATTTTCTAATGACTGGACAAAATGGAAAAAATCCTATGTTTTAAACTAACAAAAATCCTTACCATTTGGAGAGTACGAGGTGGCTCCTGTATCGGTTTCCTCACTTGGAGTCTCTAAAACATGTTTAAACGTTATACGTAAATCTTTTTTGGATAATTTCCGACAAAACAGAACGTATGTTATTTAAGCTATTAAAAGACTTTCGAGTTTGCCCTCTGTTTAATCTTTTGCTCATCGATTTTAATTAAGTTATTACCATTTGGCGTTACAGCGATGATTTCAGCACCTGGCTCTTCGCTTGGGTTCACTTAGGTAATTTGAAAAAAAGACAACATTAGTCAACGCTCAGTTACCTTCGTCACTTTTAATATGGTGGGATTTGGATTTGAGAGCGTCGGCGAGGGGAGGGGGGGGGTAGGTTCAATCTACTATCCAAATGTCAACATATCCTGTTTTTGCTTCCAGTCGTCAAGGATATCCTGTTTTACACTATCCTAGGGAGTGTGAGGTTTAAAAACAGCTCGTGAATGCTTTTATGAATATCTACTCAAATATGGAAACAGGTTTCAGACTAAACTAAAAATATCGTTTTGGATCAAGACTCGCGAACATCGTGATACGATGATCAGGTTTTGATACTAGTAGCATAGGATACGATGGTGAATATGCTATGGGCTCTACTGCTAGATTTGAACGAGTGCCACTTTTGCCTTTAACGAAAAGCATAATTACTCTTCAGTTAACAAATTTGAGCTATTCCTGCGACCTTTCTTGAGTTATTTCTTTAAGTGCTATGATTTCAATAGACCGTTAGCACAAGACTTTGTCATGGCTATAGAAATCAAGGATTAAATGGTGTTTTGAACGATGGCACGTGTAAGACAACCCGGAAATCAGATCTTGATCCCACCCTTTAAAGAATAACTAGGATAGCTGGTGCAACGGAAAAAATTGAACATCCCGCAATTAAATTTGCTTGGATATCAATTTTAGAAGTCCACTGTTACAAAGTAACTCACAGTTGTAAGTATTGTGACATTATATATATTCTATATCATTTGATTGCTTTCTAATCTTGCTAGGTATCTCCAGGTCTTGATGGGCATAAAAGGAGGCTTGCAATTGGAAGTTAGAGGACTCAAGTCAAATTGTTTAATAACGTCTGATTGCGTCTATACTTACTCGCTGCTTCAGAGTCATCCAAAGTCACTTCTGTCTGTGCTCTAGTTCATGAGAAGAGGGAAAAAATGACGTTCATTTTAAAATCTTACAGAGATCAATATGGCAGAAATTTGCGCCTCTGTTGAGCTTAGTGCCAACAGTTTAAGATGATTACTCCTCATTTATGCGTCTTATTTGGCGAAAGTTGCGGTCATAATTTGTTTCTTGGAGTCTCGTTGAGCGTAAACGGACAGCTCGTATGTTTGAGAAGTCAAGTCAAATGATTTATTGCTTCCATACTTACTTGCAGCGTCTGAGTCATCTGGTGTCACTTCTTCCGATTGCACTATGTAGAACAAGAAGAGAAACATGAACATTCGCTCTTGACATTACCAATGATCAATGTAGCAGAACTGAATTGAGGCTCTGGCGAGCTTATGGGTCACATTTTACGATTTTTTCTCCACAGTATATTAATTTGGCAGTATTTTGACGATTTCTCCACCTCATATTTTAATAATTCATGTTCTACCTACATTGAAGTAGGCAGGGACTAACAGACATGAACCATGCATAACAGAACAAAATTAACCGATATAAAGAGAGAGAAACTCCGATTAAGATACAAGGTGACTTCTGACGGTTATGTTTGAGTTCCAAGTATTCGCTAAGAAAGATTATACAATAAACAGTTACTTGTCAAATTAGCCTTCAAGCTATGTTGAATATAGAAAAAGGCAACTGAGACTAACAAACCTTGGGAGCCACTTCCTTCAATTACATCTGGTAAAGAATAAAAAGAAGACAACGAGATGAAGAATTATTGATTTTGCAAAGTTAACCTTTGCTTGTAAATGACATAGCAAACATATATTCTCAAAGGCTGTTGATTAATCAATAACAAATAGGATTCAAACCATGAAGTTCGAAAAAGCTCTCGTAAACACGTGGTCCTACACTTCAGAATTGCAAATCTCATCTTTGGGTCTCACTTTCGAGGTGAAAAAGTATGATAAACATTAGAGGGAGACTGGAGAATGGAGATCATAGGAGAGCTAGAAAACCGTGCAAGATGGTGTAACTAAAGATTGTAGATCAAACTTAAAAAAAAAAAATTGTGATCATGCATGTTGGAGAACGTATTCATGCTTGTCATTAGTTTTTAAATAGAATGGCCAATACTGATGGCAAATACTTACCTCGACATAGTTTTGGAGCTATGTTTGTCTCCAAAGCATCCAAATGGTTTTCGTCTGATATCAAAGTATTCCGAAAATCTGAAGCTAAGTCATTCATTTCTAATGGATCGCTCTCGCTACCAATCGCCACCGTGAGGATTTTCACCCCAGCGTCTTTCAGATCCTTTACAGCAGTACCGATCGTGTCTTCCGATCTTTTGGATGAAAGAACAATTAACGTCTTTGGAATATCCGGACGTGCACTTTTGTTGTAAAGCTGGTCCTTGGTAAACGAAAGGGCCTGTCCAAGGTTGCTTCCAGCAATGGGCGTTTTCACTTCTTCAATGGCCTGCGAAAGTTTCGCAATGTCAAAGTATTGGTTGAAGTCAAACGCCAAATAAGGATTCTTGCCATACACGACGAGGCCAATGTGTGTTCCGGAATCGGAAACCTTAGCCTTTTGTGCCATATTTCTCACAAAGCGTAAAGCTTTTCTGAACGTCTTTTCACTCTTGTCCATTGGTTCATTGTAGCCGCCTGATACTAAGAAGCCGAGTTCCATCGTTGGGGTTTTACACACTTTGCTATCATCAAAAAGTTGACCTGAACAGATAAGAACACAGTTCCATTTTAAACCGAATAAACGAATGGTATGATTTCTGAATTCTAATGAATGACGTTGAGCTTTCAAAATGTGATATGTTTCTTGCGATTTGCGCTTATTGTGTGGCAAACAATTCCTCTTCGTCTATTAGTATGAGCCAAAAAACAAAAGTTATGATTTTATGGATGGCAGACTTAACACGAATTATTCTTCTTGTTCTAATCGCTAATTTTGTTCCTTACATGGGGCTGGAACTAGGAAATCTCGCTCCGTGGAGAAATCTAGCGGACTAGCCACGCTACATCGCGTCCGTCTTAACCTAGTTAGCATGGTGATAATGTTTATCTTACCCATTAAACTTGCCACCTTCTGAGTGTCATTGACTTTGGAGCCTAAAAGAAGATGAATACATTTTCCTTTGAGATGGTAGGTACGAACAGCAGCTCTGGTTAAAGACGTATTATAGCACCTATTTATTAGATGTTTAAAGATTATCAAGTCCATAAAAAAGACGATCTTTGGAATCATTTAGTAAATTGGTACTTTTAAGCACAACCAAAACGAATCAATTCACTTTCTTCAAACAGTTGATGACAACAAGTTCTCCGAAATGTGATCTGTAGCTGACCAGCTCCTTCTAGTTACTCTACTATACTCTTTAAAGGGAGAATCACTACTTTTTCACTATATATGCGGTTATGTTATCAGTCATTGAAGGCCACTATCTTATGATTTGATCCAGGTTGATTTTTTATGTTGGCAGGAACATTACCATTATATGGTAATCATCATAACAGCAACGTTGTGTAAGTTCTATCATGAAAATTAGCGCGTTAAGGGAATCTTAATAATATTTAAAATTTTTCAGATGTAATGATGCGATAGATAAGATTTAAAATAAGAAGGGATATCTCCTTTAGGGGCTCGGAGGAAGAATAATACACAGGCACTATAGTTCGCACGCTGGACTAATTAAACCATGATATCTTCCCACTATTCATCTTATAATGATGGCGATCTTTTCAAATCATGATAGATTTGGAAAACGATCTGCAATGGCGTTACGACATTTCACTAAACGTTCATTATAGCTATTATAGTAATAATAAACATTTCAGCCCTTTTTAAAGGATAGATATATGCCAAACCTGACGACAAAATGGCGATCCAATGAATCGTAAACAGGAAGTAACCAAGTGATCGGCAAGATGACCCTTTTTCATGCAAAAACATGGCTGATGTAGTTTTATAAGCACTTGAAATGGCAAGTATTATCTTCGGAATGGCACGGTTAATGACATTGTCTTCTTCAATTTGTATAACATTAAACCTTTTCAGTCTTTCTTGAGAGGGCCTAAAACAAAGGCTCCAGAAAAGTTCACCAGTCGCTTTGTTGAAATATTTCAAGGTTAGCGAAATTCGATATTTTGATTTGTGATCAATCTAATTGGTAGTCTTGAAAGGGTACCTAACCACCATCTGTCAATAACCTGTTGTAGCTTTTAAAACAACTTAATTGTTTTTAAAAAGCTGACTGAAAACTTAAGTGCATACTCTAAGGAAAAAATCCGTCGACATGATTTCAAGATGAGTTTCTTGATAACCTTTAGGCCTTATTCGCACAGTGTTTGCCGGACAACTAGCAAGAATTCTGTTTCGTAGAGTTAATGCTTATCATTTTGAACCAATCAGTGCTCGCGAACTGAGCTATCATAAAAATAAAAGCAACCCAAAAATAAAAAGTGATAATGAATGAAACAAAAAAAATTGCCGATTCAAGAAGAGTTCTTGGCCAGGCTTTGGATTGAAATGCGAGAATATCACTAACTCTCCGTTAGTGAAATGAACTGAACCCTTTTAGCGCATTCGCTAAAAGAACGCAACATCATATAAGTAAAAACTTGTGAATAATCAATCATCGTGCACAGCGGTGGCCATTTAAGGGTCTGAATAAGTATACAGAGAGGTGAATCGGAAATTGTTCTAGACAATACACCGGCAAAAATGGGCAGGTCGAACTAAGTTAAAAGTAAAAGTCAATGAAAACAAAGCGAGTTGATTAACAAAAACAAGCCAAGTTAGGATCCATTTCCCCGCCACTTCCTTCAAGTTGAATGTAGTTCAGTGAGCGGGGCTCCAAAGAGTATGAAACTCGTTTTAGAATCGACTCGCTAGCTCAACTTTGACTCAATTTAAATTGCAATTTTCCGACGACTTTCGTATAAGAGTTTTCTTGACTCTTCAGTTGTTTCTTAAAGGAAATCATCATTTCACATCTTTATCAATAAGATTATGTAGTACGCTCCTAAAGGTAAGCAGTAAATGAAATCTCCTCGGGTCAAGTTCGTTGTAAAGTCGGTTTAGAGTAGAGGGATGCGGTGTACTTCATGCCTGAATGATTATTTGAATCAGCGTCTATTGCGATACCTTATTGGCCAAAACTTTCTGCCCTGCTCTGGTTCGCTATTGTCCAGTGTCACTGTCAGGTAACGTTAGCAGCAATATCGTGGTCTCTTAAGCAAAATTACGGGTACCAGAAAAATAACCGGTTGTAATGGTGGAACAAAATGATCCTCCTCAATACTTTAACCACACCACAAAATGACTTCCAAAAAGTCAATTGCAAGAAATTATGTCTACGGGTAAGATTCTCTCTATTTTTTCTATTGTACTCCGTTAAATACTCAGAAAATTTTTATCTGTTCTCACAGGTTGGCTGTTGAGAATCATCTTGACCTTGATTGCATTTAGCTTTCCTGTTGCCCTCTATCAATTGAGGAACATTTTAAAAGGTCAAGTATAGTACTTATGTTTTTTAAACAGCACAAAAGTAGCATCATGCAGAGTTGGATGTTTATTTTAGAAGATTGGTTTATTACTGTTGCTGAAAGAAACGTAAATAAACAATTTCCGTGCTACATACATGGGAGAGATATTCTACCCGAGAGCTTTAATTTGTAAACTACACTTCAAGCGGTAATTGATATTAATTGTTTTAAACATATCGAGTACGCCACTTAATTGCCGAATGTACATCCAGCAATAGACGGCATAGCTGATAAAGTCGATACAATTATGATAATTGACTGATTTAGTCATAACATGGCACGTATAGAGTTTCTTTCATAGAGTCTATGAAATGATATTGGTATTCTAGTGTAATAATACTCTCTTTGTTTCTTCCCACGCTCTAACCCCACCAATTAAAGCGGGTCAATTTTAAGTTGTTAAAATACATTTAAAATTAAACATATCTAATAAAAGACAACTTCCCTATCATTTCCGTGTAAGCCTCATATACAAATCTGACCAACACAGATTTCGATAAAGGACTCAGATAATCAACAGAAAAACTAAAGGATAGCAATGGTTTAATTGACCTCTTACATGTATTAGTGTCTGTTGACACAGGTACAGAAAATTGTATGAACACAACTTTATGTCATGATTTATAAGCACTAGTAATGTTTTGACCTTGTGGATCTCCCTTGTTATCCTCTATGACCTATTTATTCAATCGTCATCGAGCAGTTAGGGACGATATATATTGTAATTAAATGAACTTGGAGAGGGTCTCCCAACGAACTGGTTTTCATGATGATTGCGATAAAATATTGTACTATGACTACAAGTGGATTAGCAGCGAGGATAAATGTATCCCTATATCCAACGTTACTAAAAGGTAGTATTATTTTCCTTTAAAGCAGCCAAAAAAAACGTCAGACTCCCTCCAATAAGCCAAGATGGAGAGTTAATACGTTTACCTCTTCAGTTCCACCATAAAACCAGACATAGCAGGGAACTGGCGTCAAGCGATGAAATCAGAAAATTTCCTTCGAACAAAAAACAAGTTCTTAAAGAAGCAAGGTTTAGACGCATAATTTCACAAAACGCAGAGGAACGCTCCTTGACACGGCTCACAGACGACTTAGAGAAACTAACCCAACTATTAAAATCAAGGGAAGGAGAGGCTCAACGCGTTATTGCTGATGATGACAGTGAGAAAAGAGGCAACACTGCAGATGGTAAAGTTAATTAAAATCGCCATGAACGAAACCCTACAATTTTTGTAGACTGAAACGGAATATTCCGTCTGGTGCGAAGTTCTTTCACACTTTAAGTACTTCAACTAAACCATGCTTGTCTCATGGCAATATGATTTACTAATAATGGATGGATACTCTATAAGAGTTGGCCGGCTTTTCATTTTTCCTCTTTCAACCATCAAAAATACTCTTTTTTGATTATTTTTTCAAAAGCAAAACAACTGCCATCTTTGTTTGATTTATAAGGATCATGTTCAGTTTTAATCTGATATGAGTATTTGTTGCAACGTTTAAAATGTAATTCTTCCTTAGTCTCAGCTCTTCTTCATTTTCCTTTAATTAGGTAATATCCTTGCTTTTGACCTCGCATTTGTGGTGGATGGGTCAAAGGATATAGATGATCAAGGAACTGGAAACTTTAAGAAATGCCTTCAGTTTACGAAGGAAATTCTCCGTTCATTTCCAATTTCAAAAAAAGGTGTACATACAGGAATAATAACGTATGGCAGAAAAGCGCTCGTGGATACTAATCTAGACACATCTCTGGATCAAACGGCTATAGAAAGCGTTATTGATGCAATTCCATATGCTGGTGATGATTCATATATTGGTAATGCACTTGATACAGCCATGGAAAAACTCTTCCCACACAGTGGCCGCGAAAAAGTGGCACATATCCTAGTGTTAGTTATAGGAAGCACCTCGCAGGATGAAGTACAGTCATCTGCTCAAGAATTGAAGGCCTCTGGTATACGGATCTTTTGCATTGGCGTCGGAGAAAGGTTTGACCAATCACAACTGGACTTAATTGCTAGTTCACCCTCTGGTACTTATGTGATAACAACTGAATTTGAAACCCTGCGAAATGTGGTGCCGATTCTTTCATCGCGAATATTGGCAGGTAAGATATCGTTAGCCTCAAGAGATGTGAAAGTTAGAATCTCAAGTGGGAGGGCCGGAAGGGAAAAATGTTTGGCTAAAGGTCTGTGCGTCATAACCGAGAGCCAGATATATTCCATCCCAGCCCGACAGACGTAGGAAATAATTATTTTAACATTTATTCATATGATTGACTAATTTTGAAAGTATGTTTTAGCTTACTGAATAAGACATACATAGTACTGACGCACGTTGGACAACCACAAGAAATATTCAAGTCAGAGCAAACAAACTCACAATTCTTCGAAAACTGACGCGACGTATTTTTCACTAATGTATTATTTAAGTGTAAAACAGTAATACAGCACTCACAATAAACTGCTATGTGAGTGGTTACACTGTTAAGAACTTTACTCAACAAATTTACAGCACTCAGCGAACCGACTGGAAAACCGACTCGAGCACCTACCAGGAGCCTTTTGACAGATGGAGGAATTGTCGGTAAGAAAGACCATACAGACTTTAAATGTAAATTTTTTTAGATAATAATACAATTTTACACTCCTCTCTTCGTTACCTTACCGTTTTCGGCGATGGGATCAAACTGTCTAATCATCACAAGAGGGGTTAATTTGACCCCTGGCTATAAAGCCTCAAACCTATATCCTCAAACTTGCCCAATTGTTTATGATTGTCGAGATCTGACGGGTATGTTCTGTAAAAGTTGTCTTGTTTATTTCACTTACCCTAAGCTATCAGAAAAAAAAAATATTAAGAAAACGGATCTCAAAATGAATCTAATCAATTGCAAAATTAATTAATCCACAAACAGTGTTTACTCAATTCATGGTTGAGTTATTCGAGTAGATATTTATCGTGGGCTGGACCCTCATTTTTTCTTTTCTAGAGGCCAAGATCGACTTAGGCTTTTTAATTGATGGCTCAAACACTGTTGGGGAAAAAAACTTCCGAACCTCACTTGACTTCATAAAAGCCATTGTAGAGTCGTTTTGGACTCAATTTGGCAGCCTCCATCTTGGACTTGTGGTGTTTGGAGCGGATGCGAGTGTTATTTTCGATTTTCATAACGGTTATAAGGCCATAACAGAAATAAACAATGCAATTAGTAATGCAACATTTCCAGGTGGAGGAAAAGTCATGGCTGGAAATGCTCTAAAATGGACAGAAACACATCTGTTTGGCAGCAAAAACCAGGATTCCTATAAAAGGATTCTCGTAGTGATAATTGGAAGCAGCTCTGGGGACGACGTATTCCTTGGTTCAGAAATGCTTAAAGCAAACTTAGTGACTATATTTTGTATTGGGGTAGGGAGCAATTTTGAGAAGACACAAATAGATGGGATAGCGTCGGCACCAAGCTCTGACAACGTTTTCACAGTTTCTACGTACCTAGGTCTTGCATCTCTAAAACAAACGCTTATTCACAAAATCGAACAAGGTAAGATTATCCTAGGAATTGCATCATATTACCCGAAGTCTATCTTATTAAAAACTTCAGTTAGTTTTCCGTTTTGTTCATTCTCAAAAGAAACACAGACAAAAACTCTCGCGATTCCTTTTTTCCACTTGACTGTCGGACTATACACTTTATGCACGCTAGCAGCTCAGAGTGTTCGCCTGCTTTGTACACGACTATTGACTGCTCTTAAAAAAAAAATTAAATCTTGCCAAGAATTTAAGCTCTTAATGGGGGTTTCCCTTGAAAATTTCAGCGCGCACAACATACATCCCACCAAAAGATCCCACTGGGAGATTTCAGCGTTATATACCTGGACAGACAGGAGCATTACCAGTAGCAGTTTTAACTCAAGGAAGAGTGCAGCCAGTAGTAATAAGCGGGATTCCACCAACAGCAGGAGTGCCACAAGCAGCAGCACCACCAGGAACAGTACTACCAGCTGGGGGAAAACCAGCAGCACTTTTCCCAGTCAGTGGTCCAGAAGCAGGATCATCCCCAGGAAGAATACCACCAGTCGGACCATCGTCAATTTTACCTACAGCTCCAGTAGCCTGGCCAGGAGGACAAGTACCGGGTAGTGCGGCTCAAAGTAAAAGGCCGCTGTACCCGGCGATTCCAGGCAATGTTCTTCGAGCAGTTCCTCCTCTCGTACCTGTGGAAGGTATCTATTTATGGATAATCTCAGGGAAATAAGATGGGAGACATTACTAACCACACTTTCAATCTCACATTCCGCTTCTTTTATAACCCTACGCAGGCTTCGGGGTAATGATACGCTTGTAGATATATGTGATTGAAACTATCTGAAACAGCAGTTGTCTTGTCAACTTTTGTTGATAAAACTAAACTATTCTTACCTTTCAGAGCGACTCATTGTAGAAAATCGTCTTTCAATTTTAATGTCGAAAATCTAAAACATTATACAGAACAACTTTGCTATAAGCCTACCATGTTATCACAGGTTCCTATGTCTGCATCAGTCTTTGAAATAATGAGGGCCACCTATAAGGTCTACTTGTGAAATTGTGCATAGGATTTCACCCTGCGTCGTGTTCTGTCAGCAGTTATTCCTAGATGGATTACCAGAGTAAATTTCCATAGGCGTTTTTCTTTTCAATTTTTGTACAGATGCGAAATATGACACCTTTGTTAATATCGTTTCAGATGAAAAATTGGACCTTGTGTTCTTGCTTGATGGATCAACGTCTATTACAAATACCGAATTTCAGGATGCTAAGCTGTTCATCAAAAAACTCTACAGCAACTTTCCCATCGGGGAATATTCGACTCATGTTGGCCTTGTTGTCTTTGGTGAAGGATCGCAAACAATTTTCGACTTAATCGAATACACCGACAAAGAAACCCTTAATGTGAAGCTAAATTTAATTTCGAAATCTAACTCTTCTGGAAACTTTCTGGGAAGAGGACTGAAAACTGTTAAGAAAAGCATTTATGACGTTAGTGCAAGACCGGGAGGACATCAAGTACTTGTTGTCATCGCGGCGGGAACCTCACAGGATGATGTGAATGCACCCTCACGTGACTTGAGAGACGAGGGTGTCAGGATTTTCTGCGTAGGAGTGGGTAACAAAGTGGATGTTAATCAACTTCAATATGTTGTAACTGCACCTGAAAGAGAACATCTAGCCACAGCGAGTTCAGATAATCTGGATACACTGCTGGGTCCTGTGGTACAGAATATCCGAAGAGGTAGGAAATTATCACACCTTTAAAGTCGTAAGCTAGGGTTCTGCATGTACAAATATTTCCCATGTCGTCAAGTGTTGGAAATTTGACTCGTTAATGTATTGTGAATGTATGCTTTTAATCCCAGATATCACAGAAACAGTGGTTCCTCTAAAACTCACTGGTGAGTAAAATATATACCTTCTTTGTTTTCTTGATTGAGCCAAAACTAAATTTTAAAGGTAGGAAATCAGAAAAAAGAATGGTGTATGGAGATGGAAACAGATATGTGGTTGATGTGGGCCGAAGAAAGGCTAGAGTGCCCCGGTAAATTGGTTTTAATGCAAGGGTCACGGCTTATAGAGTGTTGTCCGTCTTCAGTCGTTTTAGTATATTGATATTAATGAATTTTCTTCCTCTTACCTCTATCCAGAAGTTAATTTTGAAATCCCTTTTTTATCATTAGATGTAAAAATGGATCTAGTTTTCCTTTTGGACGTCAATTCCAACAACTTTAGGCGTGATCAATTTAGTAACGTTTTGAACTCGATAAAATCAACTTATGCACCGTTTGTAATTGGTAACGAAAAGACTCGGATTGGCGTTCTGGCATACGACGAGCACATTCACACAATGATCCCCATGGGTCAGTATCCTTCACAACAGTCACTCGACATTGCAATAGATGAAATTTTAACGTCCCCATCATCGGGAGAAAGTCTCCTCGGACAGGGTCTCGTTGCTGTAAAAAGTCAGCTGTTTTATGGCAAACCTCGTCCGGAAGTTCCCAAAATACTTGTGGTAATTTCGGGAGGAAAGTCCAAAGATAACGTAATGGGGCCATCAAAAGTGCTGAAAGAACTTAATGTAACGATATTTTGTATCGGAGTTGGGCAGAATGTTGACAGAAGCGAACTTGAAGCCATAGCAACTTTACCAACAGTGAGTCACGTGGTAATGGCAACTATATCATACCGAGAAACTGCTGGGGGGAACCTAGCGTCGAGGATCAAAAAAGGTAAATGCAAATAGGTTCTTCCACCATGGCTTTCAGTAGCTTCAGATTTCTTAGGGGTATGATCCCCAAAACAATAAGCTCCCCGGCATTTTGTTAACACCTAGTAATAGCCAAAATTACCCTTCAGACTGTCTTCCTTTCTCTTGTTGCGATGAGCATTAGGAAAGTTTCCTTAGGTATGACTAATCTAATTCCCTGGTCATGAAACACTGATCGGTATCATGGCCATGGGATAGCAGGAGCACAAGTAACCGCCTCCCGGTTAGCTCAGTTGGTTAGAGTGCCAGACTGTTGTGCGGGAGGTCGAGGTCGATGGTTCGAGCCCCGGCCGGACCAACACTCAAGGTCTTAAAATAACTGAGGAGAATGCGCTACCTTTCTATAACATCAAGAAATGGATAGACATTCTAGTCTTCTCGGATAAGGCCAAATAGACCATAGGTCCCGTCTCCTGCATCTATTAATTAGTTAATTTGGTTAGGCAGGGGACGTTAAAGAACCCAGTCACGAGATTACTGTGATGTGGTCTGGCCTGTTTTCTGGGAATTGGGGGGGAGGGGGCATCTTCAAATAAGTTTCCTTCGATTGTTTGTAAACTGCTGATGCAGTCCGTCCAAAGTCCCCCGAAAAGTATTGTGATGCGCATTTGATCATATCCACATGTTAATTTGCGCAAAATAAATATTAATTTATAATATTATTATTATTAAGTAGCGAGCAGCAATGGCACAATCAATAGAACTCTTTGTCTCACATAAGAAAACTCAGTTTTGATTGAAGAATATGGCATCTTTTGTAAATTCGTTTATTTCGTTGGGCTTGGAGAATTTTTTAATGCCGACTTCCTCGACCTTTCTGAAAGAACTGGGTCCACTCTTTCGGTTTGTCTCCTTGCTGGAAATGCGGAATTATAATTGTTTTTTTTTTCGGCCACAGTTATTCAGGTTGATCTGGGCTTCCTTGTTGACGGATCATCAAATATAATGGAAACTGAATTCTTACAATGCATGGACATAGTGAAGTATATCTACAATGCTTTTTCCGTTTCAAAAGAAAACGTTCATGTTGGTCTTGGTGTAATTTCCAGTAATCCAGAGATAATATTCGGCTTTGACAAATATTTTGATAAGACGAGCCTCGACTCCGCCATAGACACTATCAAGTATTCGGGAGCTCAGCAAGTGGCGAACATTGGACTAAGTCTCATTGCGGCCAGGGATACGTTTTACAGTAAGAGTACCAGGAAAGGAGTTAGACGAGTTCTCGTTTTAATGGTTAAAAGCAAATCCAATGACGAAATCTCCGACCCAGCACGAAAGCTGAGGGACGATGGAGTAGAGATATACGGCTTTGGCATTGGAGACAGAGTAGAAGTACAAGAAATTGCTGAAATAGCGACAATGCCAACGAATAAACACGTAGTAATGAACGGTACTGCTTTGTTAGTTGGGACGCAGAATCTAATTGAGAAGCTGGGGATTGCGAAAGTGGAATCAAGTAAGTCTTGAAGAGGTTAATAATTCATATGAAAATAAAAATTTGTAATAGTGTCATTATTGTTTAAGAGTAACTACTTTAAAATGTCTCTACTTCGTTTCCTTGGTCTGAGAACCCGAAAGCGAGTTTGTTACGCCTTCCGTTTGCGATGAATAAATAATGATTTAGATGGGTATATAGTTTTGAAAGGGATTTCTCAAGACTTAGGAATGATAAATTGTTATATCCTTATTTTCATTGATTCGTATCTTTTTGCTTTATATTACAGCGCAAAGGCAAGCTCCCAAACAGCGGATGACCCCTCATGGGATAGGAAGTGAGGTTTTTTATTTGGAAATGAAAATGACAAATCTTGTGCATTGCATTTTTAAGTAAAAACATACAGTTCTATGTGTAACATTATGAGGAAATCCCTACTTTGTCTTTATGAGTTCAGTCTACACTGCACTCAACCTTCCTCGTCCCTAATAGCCTCTTTTTCCACGCCTACTTTGTTAATTTTCACGGGTACAAACATTTGAGAAAGGACTGTGAGGGAGCTAGACGTGAAACTTGTTAACTAGATTCAAATTTCTCAAGCTTTTATTTGCATATTTATTTACAATAGCATGATAGAAAATAGCGATGGAAAATCATCGTTGAAATACAGATGGGCTACATTTGAGTAAATTGCTTAAAAGTCTTCTATCTTACAGATGCTATTGATCTGGTTATCCTGATTGATGGAAGTAGCAACACTAAACCTGATGATTTCAACCAAATAAAAGAAGTTACTAAATCTATCTATTACAACTTCGGTGTATCACCTAATGGAACTCATGTTGCAGTGGCCGTATATTCTAAAGTGACTCAGATCATCTTCAATTTGAATAAGCATTACGATCACCAAGGTATGGACAACGATATAAACGCCGCCCCTTACCACTCTGGAGTTAGTTTGATGGGAAGTGCTCTACGAGACGTAAAAACGCATATCTTTGACATGCATTCTCGACAAAAGATTCCTAAAATTTTGATCTCCGTATTGACCGGAACGCCTGGAGACGAAATCGAAGGATACATCAAGGAACTGAAAATGTCTTGCGTCTTAATGTTTGCCTTGGGGCTCACTTCCAATTACAGTCCCCAGATTTTGGACCTTGCATCCAATGAACCTCATTCTGAATATGTGCTGATCAGCGAAACTTTTCCAGAAGTTAATTCAGTGGCACAGAAAATGGCTAACAAAATAAACAAGGGTAAGTTTTGCGGTACGTATATATACACTGAATCATTCACGAGCAAACCGTCCAAAAGCTGAATATTGTACCTAGTCTCGTGGTAGATGGCGTCTTTTTACCTAAATAATTAAGTAAAAAGAGCCTCGAAAAATATGGCAGCCTTTTGCATAACTAAATGATAGCTCAGTATCTGATCTATCAAACTTAGTTCTTCGTTTGTATTTCAAATTCTTTGGTGATTTTCTCGATACGGTGATGACCTGTGAAAAAAAATACCTAATTGTTGCCTAATATTCACGTTGATAACACTTGAAATTGCTTAAACGTTATATTTTCACAGTTGCCTCAATACAAACGTCTCGCACTGAACTTTGTGTGCAGCCGGAAGGTGAGTGCAATAAATCACGATTGAACACTCAAACTGACTAAAAAAAAAATAAACAAACAACCAAACAAACATTACATACTTGTGCAACCATGTGAAATGCGCAATTTGTGCTAACATCGAACACTTCTTAAAGATTTATGAATCTTGTTTGTATGCAGATACAAAACTGGACATCGTGCTCCTAATTGGCAACTGTGGAAGTAATTCCAAGCAGTATTTTCAACGACAGTTGAATTTCGCGAGAAATGTGATCCACTCTTTGACACTGAATCCTCAAAATGTACGTTTTGCCATCATATCAGTTTCTAGTGGAGCTGAAATAGTTCAAGTTTTGAAGAAACAACCGGATAACCTCATTGCAGTGTCTTCTGCTTCCCTCCCGTCTGGTGGACTCTGTACTTTTGGGCAAGGCATAGACAAAGCGCATGAATTGTTAAAGAACAATAGAATTAGTGGTATTCTTCAAGTAATGATCTCTTTATTGGATGGTAAATCTGATGATGATGTTTCAAAGCCTGCAAGCGAGCTGAGCAAAGCAGGTGTCCTGTTGTATGCAGTTGGGTCCAAGGAAAAAGTCGGCGAATATGTTGCATCCAACATCACCAGTGACCCCACTTCAGAATTTTTTATACCAGATCTAGGCATTCTTGCTATTGATACCATGAAGCAGGCGGTTGTGGACAAAATAGAAAAAGGTTTGATAAATATAGCCTTTTTTGGTATCTAATACAATCAATACACCAGCAGTTTTTGCCAGTTCCTACTTCCTGACAAAAGCTATTGCTTATAGTATATCGAAAAAAACAAGGAGAAAAAAGGCGAGGCCATGGTGGAACCGTTTGGCATAGTAACTAGAAGGAGGCGAGTCTAAGTTAATGAAAAAAGTGTAATTTAATTTATCTTTATACAACTTATTAATGAACTTTTTTTAAGCAAGCTTAGCTTTCAGAGTTTCAGGTACAAATCGGCCTTTTGTAGGCTTTTATAGCCTTTTAAACGGCCAGCTTTCAAAACTCGCGGGCAGATGTGTGAAATACAACGTAACAATAGGACAAACGATAATTTGCGAGGTCTTTGTTTCTTAACTCCACCCCGACAAGTTAACGAACTTGGGCAATATTTCTAGTGGAGAAAGGGGCGCAAAATGTCGACCATAAAAAACCAGCAAGTGTACACTCGCATGGCGGCCAATATTTCGCTACTGTAATAACGCAGGCATTCTGCGCGACGATGGTAAGAACACAACGTCTGAAACTTAAGATTTTCGTTTTCTTTGTATATTTAAGATATTGAAATTGGAAAAAGACTTGTTTGCCCTGCTAGAGAATGTAATAATAATGGTAAGTTTGCCCGCTCTGATTTTGCATGTACTTTTAGTGCCGCTGTTTTGTTTTAGTTATACGATGTGGTGCTTCAGTCACCTTGAAAACGGTATTTTTTTACATAAAGAGCTTATTAAGTTCCTTGTTTATCGTTTGCGTCTAGCTTCTTGATGACCCGCTTGTTTCCTATATATCCTCCGGCAGAATGTTACAGTATTTTTTTTATTTCAAGTGCTCTAAACTGAATATTAAGGAAGTTTTACAGAATAAATTTAAAAGTCCTGGCGAGCCGCATTAAAAGGCCGAAAATCGCAAACGAAATGAAGTAGCAGTCTTTCTTGACACCACCAACCCGGTACCTGCCATATGATAGAGCCTTAAGCTTGTTTATTTTGTTTTTTTTTTTGTTCTGTTTTTTTTTTTTCCCACGTTGTTTTTTGCTGGAGTTTGTTTTGCATTTTCTTATTCGGTGGAAATTTCTACACCTTTTTCAGTTTATTAAGCTGCATCATTGTCTTGTAGTCTTTTTGCGAGCTATTCAAAGGATTTTCATACTTTTGCTTTCTATTCTTTTTAGCGACGAAGCCGTCATCAGAATTACGGCCACAACCTCAATCACAAAACACAACAAAATCTCGCCAGCCACTTGCAGCTAAGATGGGTCCAGTTGATCTGGTTTTCTTAGTTGAAGGCAGCGATATAGTCAATGAGACTTTATTCAAGGTAATGCTTGACATTGTGAAGGACGTCTATATTCGCTTTCCAGTCTCCTTGAATGAAACACACGTGGCCGTAGTCGTTTACGGCTCGAACACCCAAATCGTCTTCAATCTCAAAGACTACTTCAATGCCAGCGCAATGAACAAAGTTTTAGTGTCAGTTCCAAATCCCCATGGGGCTGCTTTAGCGGGGAAAGCTCTGACAGCGGTAAAAAATAGAGTTTTTGATACGGCTGGAAGAACGAATGAATCGGGTGTATCACGTGTTCTCCTACACATCACGTGTGGTAAGTCAGCTGATGACGTAGTTGGGCCAGCTAAAGTTCTCAAAGAAGCTAAGGTCAAGATAGTTGCAGCCGGCGCATGTCCTGAGGCCAATAAGATGGAGCTTTGTAACATTGGAAGTCCCCCAGTATGTAATAACTCCGTGCTTATCAATACACTCAAGCCACCAAATATTCCTGGGCATGAGCTGGCCAATAAACTGAAACAAGGTTAGAACATTAGCTGTTTAGTTAGTTGCTGTCCTTGTGTTACTGAAGAAGTATAATCTACGTACGCTACAATTTAAGATTAGATGGATTGGTAGACTTATTATTCAAAACGTTAGTTGGTTAACGCTGTCACGAATAAAAAGGGGCAGAGATATGGAGATAAGGTTAGGAAAATAGAACAAAAGGTGCAAATTGTGCCCTACCTTTGACATTTATGAAGATTCATTGGTTGCTTGATAGCTTTTAATGCCGCACGCACGTATATCGAGATCAAAAACATTTTTAAACAAGCATGAGCATGTATGCGCAGCAGAGATCGAATGGACTCTGAATTCTATGTTATATCTCTTTATCTATAGATATTCCTGTTCAAAATGCCACGGAAAAAGAGCCAGGTAAGAGACGCTTGAAATATTGAATTACCCCTCCCCCACTAAAGAAAAGAACCAAAGCGAAAAAGACGCTCTAGAGCAGGGTTACGGAGATCAATTCTCTCAGACTCGCCATCAGAAAAGGTTACATTTAGATGCGCCTTGAACATCAAAGTGCTGGTTTTCCAGCCTTACTTTCGAAAAAAAGAACTTGAAACACTCACTAATCTTATGGATTTGCAGGTCAAAATGTTTCTGAACCTTCAACGGGTGAGTACATATTTCTTCATAAATGATGCGAATCTTAGTTGCCATTGTTTGCCTAAAACAAAATAGAGTCAAGTGGTTGAAAGATTTTCAGAGATAATAATAACCGTTGGGACTAAGAGAGGGAACTTACTATTGCATCTTGTGTCGGTATTGGTCTGTTTTTTCGATTTTCCGCTGAATGGACTTTCGCGAAGACTGAAATCATAAATGGCATTTCATACATATTTTACCTTTTGCTCCTCTCAGTCGATTAAGACTACGTTATAACAGGAAGAGAATTTAAATTATAGATTGACTCCTCAAATCTACACTAGGTGCTATCCTGCCAAACATGTTTTGGAATAATGGACCAAGTGGAGCCGTTGTTCCATTGGTTCCTTCCCTCGTGCCAGTTCACTCTCAAGCTCTTAGTCCAGCGCCAAACATTTGGAACTACGAATTACAAATACAACGGAATCCTGTGCCCCCAGATCCATACACTCTTCCTGGCAGTTCCTTTCAATACAGTAGTAAGTCATCTATTTGACTTTAAGCAATTAAAGCACGCGCAAGCACCGCCTATGCCAGCACCGCTCTGTTCCGCACCACCGTTAGATTTCATCCAATAAAATAACAACTACATAGCCCTCTCGAAGACAGTGCTCTTGTCGTGCTCATCACCGCACCATCTGTCTATAGACGATCTCGTTTTGGAAAGAATAAATTCCCATACCTTGTGAAGTCCACTGCAGTTTCATTTTAAGTGGATGACTCTAATATCATGAATTGTAGAACTCAATATTATCAGAGTACTGAATTATTACATTTTCCCATTTTTACACTGAGGTAGATGGAAACGCCAAAGGGATACGCCACTGAGCTTTTATGTTCTTTTCTTGTGTGGTGAAACTTCTACTATGATTTATAGATTGCTAGATGTGCCTGATCAAGTCAATTGCACTTATTATTATTTAGCGGAGTGTATAGATTATGACCCAGCCTGTTCTGGATATACCGTCAACGGCTATTGTGACGGAAGTGCGACTGGATTTAGCGATGACTACTTAATGAAGATGTGTAAAAAGAGTTGCAACTTATGCGAGACGTAAGTTACATACCTTCCTCTAAATCAGGCAAATTTCAAATAACTAAGATATAGGGTTTTGTCATTAATTATGGATATTTCTAAGCAATGTTAACCGGCCATACTATACTCGCACTTTGTTTAAAGATTCTTTCAAGACTTCTTTATACGAAGAAATTTTTTGCCACACGATCAGATCTTGTAATGGGCTTATTGCCCGAATAAGACGTAAACTAAGACGGCCCTTAGGTAATTTCTTCGACAAGTCTTCGTCAGCGACATTTCGTTGGAACTGTCCAACAATGTTTGGATAATTCAGGTCACACACGACTTTCCATCAGCTAGCAATCTCAGTACGTGGCATGAGTAACAAAACTTACGCGTGATTAGGTTGAAATGTTTAGTTAGCTCAATTGCAAGATTTCTTGGTTTTCTTACACTATGTATAAATTCAAATAATTAAGCTGGCTATAGTTTTCCTTTGTCGATCAACGAGGAAATGCGTTTTTTTCTTTTTCTTAGGAACCAAGACTACACATCTGGAGGCATATGGATTAAGAGGGATGAAATTACAAAACGACGTGATATTGAAAAGAAAAAGACCACAATTTCAGAAAATTCATCAGAAAGAACAAAAAGAGGAAGAGGGAGGAAGATTAAGAAGCAGGAAAATGTCAAACCAGTGGCGTGATGTTCTAATATACTAAGCTCTTTCCTCGTACCGGATACAGCTTTAGTCAAACCTGAAAAATAACGACATTTTGAACAAAAGATTTAAACTCCCTAAAATATATAGAAAATGGAATACACAGGCTTTACTAAAATAGCCTTTGGTTACAGAAAAAATACCCTTCCTCTGCGACCTTGTCAATTACTGAACCAATTTGAAGATTGTTTTTCCGATGTTGAATTGATCTATGCTGATACGTTTGGTTAAAATGTATAATTCCCCTTGTAGTATCAGCGTTCTCTTACATTTTGTTACTTAATGAGAATATCAGCCAAATTTGACTGTGTGGTGCGATCATACCAGCGAGAGTGTCCTGATATTTGTTGCTGTGATACTATATCACGTTTCAAAAAATTTATTAAAGTCAGCATAAGAGTCAAACAGAACTCAACCCACGGATCTCGCTGCGCTGCTTCATGACTTGGAGCCTAATTATCTCTTGTCCGGCCTTCACCCTCAGTGAATAGGTGGATATTACATTTGGAGGAGTGATGCGGTTCACCGAGTGTTTTCACTTTTACAATCCATATTAACCAGTGCACAGATAAATCGTTCCCTGTACAGCTCATGTAGACTAGATACAGCTAACCTTACAAAAGCGTCTTTGGCTTAATCGACCATAAACTGGTTTCATTTTTAGCCCCTTTCTTGGGAACTACAATGAAGGAACAAAACGTAATGAATTACATTTTTAAAGTCAATGCCTCTGTCAAGCCTATCAAATTACGTATCTTACATTTACAAGGCACCTAAAAAGTTAATTACCTCTCAAACGTTTACGTATCACACAATATCAGTACTCTTGGTTCCACAACGAAATGCTACGATCCAAAAGACCTGAGGACATTCTACATCTAAATCGTCAGCTACTTTATCTCATATTTTCTTGTTTTCAAAATTTATGTTTGAGTTAATCAGTTCTAGTCACAAACAATCAATGTTAATCATATTGCCGGTGTCGGTACAACTCAGCAACGACAGAAGAGTTTTCATGAAGCGGTGAGGTAATTTTGGTTATTGTTGAGTGACTTTAACCCTTTGGCTGAACAAGCGATAAGTTTTGAAGCTTTTTGACGACACATTTGTCTCAATGACCTGTACTGGGGCTTAGACGCTGAAGACCTTTGCGACCTAATTTTTTATTTATTTCTGTTCGAAGGTGGTCGTTTGTACTAGAAAAACGCACAACCTGCCACTTTTACCCTTGCTTCTCCGAAGTTATATTTACGGCAGTGAAAATATATAGCAAAGTTGAATAATATGTGATATTTCTTGAGGAGAGAAACATGCCACTGAGGAATGGGTAAAAGAACATATACACTCTACAAAGTCTCTTATTTAATGTGGCATTTTGTCAGAGAAACCTTCTCGAGTAGGTTTTACCATGTGTCTTCGACTTTTGGAAAATTTTAAGATATTTCTTTTGGCACTCTGCATTCACAATGTCTCAACACTGCGACTGAAATCAGGTTTGTAATCATTTCTGTCGTAGTCAATATTTTTTTCATCATTTAACTGGGTTGCTTTGTTTTTAACGGTTATCAATTATTTAGGGTAGGAGCGTGCTAAATGTAGAAACCGAGGTGTTGATTCATTGTTTCCTTTATTTTTTTTCTCTTTTCGTTAAATGACAGTAATAATTGTTTTAGTTCTTTCGAAACAAAGAATTTAATTGAAAAATGAAATACATAGGCCCCAAGAAAGGTGTTTGTTAATCATATATTAAGTATCTCTGAATAGCCTTGTTTCATACAAACATAGATGTCTGCAAAGGAGCAATAAATCCCCTTATTATTTCGTATGTTTACCCTTTGACGACTGAAAGTCCGTTCATTCTTAAGGAGATTTAAGTCATGGATTGACCAGCCGAGCTGCGTGCGAAAGAGGTCAAAATAAGACGTTGCCAAAACACAAAGACTGGGGCATTTGACAATTAGTCAGTAGAGAAAAAGACGGTAACAATGCTGAAAGAATGAATGCTAATATGTTCGCAATTTATATACTCCACGATAAGCGTACAAATAGTGGAATTCCATCGAAACATTGCTTCCAAATCGTGCATATTAGTCATATTTGATTGTTTTGGCACTGCAATAAAGAATTACAATAATACCTTAGATGGGAAAACGTAGAAGAGACTATTTTATATGATTTGTTTTACTCTAGAGAAACATTCAGTTGAAGGTAAAGACCACAATGCGTCGCGTCGTTACAACGTGAAAGATTTTTACAACAGCTCATTGGCGACCAGGCGAAGCACATACCGCATTAACATGCCAATGAAAGTGGCAAAACTTATACTTCCGCAAATCACGAATAAAAACCAAGAGACTATCATTAGAATATATCCCGATAAATCAGGCAAGGCGCAAAATCAAAGTGGAAGCAATTACTTGTTAAGCCTCAGTTATAAGAAGCTAAATGACATGAGTGCTCCGAACAAACTTCAAGCTGGCAGGCGTGCCTGTTATTATGGCGAACGCCCTGGATGCTGCTCGGTGTGTTGTCCCGGATGTAAGTGTTTACCAATCTTGTTTGTAGTTGTGCACATATCTTGTGCTTAAGATTGCCACACAATTGCTTCGAAACGGTGAAATGTTTTCATAATTCTTGAATTAAGACTAACAGAAGTATGACATCTGAATCAACTATTTAGCTATTTGTATCGGTCGTGGTTTTAAGGTTATCCATGTCCCTAGAGGTATTTTAAAGTCTAAGAGCCACTTTTATCGGGCTTCGCGAAGAAAAGGAAAGATAAGATTTAGCGTCGGATAAGGTGTTCATTGGCGTTTCATACCACTGATAACACACGTGTTTTTGTTATTACCTTTCAGCGATGTGTGGTCCATGCTCGATGCCAGGTAATCTCATTTTATTGTAATTGCTATGCATTGACTAAAAGCCCCAAATTAAAATCATGAACAGTATCCTTTTCGATTGCAAGTCATCATCAAAAATATATATATATATATATATATTTATTGAATCGGAGAGTGCTTTACAATCATATGGAGCTTTGTAAACAATTATTTATTTATTTATTTATCCAATTATCTATTTCCACCTGACGAGAGAGGACTTTTAACCCTTTCGAAACAGATCTGTAGTACCTAGTTTTAACTTTTATTTTCCTAAATAATTGTATATATTTATATATATATATCGTCGTCACAATCCTATGGTAGATCAGATCCACGCAAACATCTGTCCTAAGTCGACAATTGTTTGTTTTTGTTTTTTTTTTCCTAGGATCATGCATCTGCTGTCCTCGCCCAAGTAAGTGATAGTGATAGTGATAACAGAACAATTACTTGCAGCAATTAATGCTGAATTACGAGTTGTTTCACAACACTATGCAGGGGACTTTACCAGACTGCTAGTAGCAGTTTACAATCAGTAAAGGCGAATCTAACAGATACCCCCCTCCCCCCAATTCCCAGAAAACAGGCCAGATCGTCTCACAGTAATCTCGTGAGTAGGTTCTTTAACGTCCCCGGCCCACCAAAAATTAGCTAATTAATAGATGCATGAGCCAGAAAGTCTCAGGACTTATACGATACCATTTTTCCTCTCAAATTGTCTTTGTTGAGGCTTGAACATTACAAAAGTTCCGACGAAAACCTTTAGTCTAGTGCAATAATCTCAGCCTCAAATATTGCTAGTATTCTAATTCACTTTCTTTTCCTTCTTTTATCGCATAACAAGTTTGTCCACGACCGCGTAAGTACTGTGTGTCCCTTACTTATATCGAGAAACTCATGTCTCTAGTGATATATCACATCATTGCCTCCTTATTCAGTTAGTTTTCTCGGATAGTCCTGTTCAAAAATTTGTAATGAATATTACAATGTCTCATTGAAATTTTTACGATTGTCAGCCTGCTGTTGCTGCTGTTGCTGTTCCAGTCCACCGCCGCCACCACCCCCTCCTCCGAAGAAACCTCCACCTCCCCCTTGCCCTATGGTATGTGTACCATGCAACCCTTGTCCTAAACCTCCATGCCGTCCAATATGTATACCGCGTCCATGTCACTCACCTTGCCGTATACCCGCACCGCCAGTACACGCACCAATCTTTGGACCCTGTTTGTCAGCCCCGCCGGTTATGGGACCGTGCCATCCTCCGTGCTTTCCTGAAAGGCGACCCTTAGTTCCCGCTCCGCTCCACCCTGCCCCTCCAATCATATCTAACAGGCCAATAGTGGTGGATCATCCATTAAAAGGGCCTCCTATATTCATAGGTAACTTGCTGACCGTTTCATCTTTATTATATCAAGAGACGACGTGGCCATTACAGTAACTACTGTTTTTGACGCATTTTAATTAACTAAAGAAAGGAATGCCGGCCAATAACTTATCAACCCCCGTTTTTATTCTTTTTATGTCTGATTATTTGTTTGTTTTTTTTTTAATAGATCAGTGCCGCGATGTTCTACCGGAATGCAAACAATATGCAAAGAGGGGAATGTGTAATCATGCATCGCCTTTTCACTCTATCCAACAAATACGAAAAATATGTCCGTTCTCTTGCGGGATTTGTAATGAGTAAGTATAATTTTCGCCTTTAGTTATAAAACGATGCTATGTACGGAAGTTTTGGATAAGCGTTCTCCCATTCTGGAGTAAATCAAGTTTCGTCCCTTTATCAGGTTTTTATGTTCTAAGCCTAACCCAGTATTCACTGTATATAAAACGTAAACCTATCAAACATCATCGATAGCTAAACATCTGACTCCGATTGTTCTGTTTCAGTTACGACGAGAATGCAGCACTTCTTCGAAGGCGTACACATTCTGGAATCCATGTGAGGCCTGCAATGCGTGCGAAACTGAATAGAGCCTTAGTACAAATCATTCGGAATAAAGACCTCGAGGGAAATTCAACACTCGAGTCTCAACCTGTCAAAATTAATTCTAAAAAAGAACAAGCTGGAGAAAAGAAAAGTCACGAGGCCTTGGATCAAGCGATTCATTCGGAAAAGGACACCGAACAAGACGAATTGAATAGCGGATCGGGCGAACCCTTCAATAAATCGAAATAATTCACATAAAAATAGGTTTAGAGGTGCGGGGATGAGAAGGCTTGGATTGCCCGACGAATAGCTATTTTGTAGAATGGCCGTGATATCTGCACATCCACGAATGGCAACATAAAGGGAAAGGCGACGATCAATTTAGAATTATTTAACTCAAAGTGACGAGAAGCTAAGTTTGATGGACATACTTTTATTTCTAAAGAAACGAGCGTAAAAAAGATCGTTGCATAAATCTGAATAAAATTGAGATTTTTGTGAGATTGTTTTTCTTTCACATTGATTAATGTACAGAAAATAAGACGACACTTTATACAACGTAGCTATCAGAAAATCCTTATCGCACCTTATGTTGAGAACGAAGAATCGAAGGTTTCCTGGTTTTGTAAAATTTGTTTGCTTCTTCCGATGTAATCCGACCGTTAACCTAACAATACTACGGAGTTCAGTGAAGGTCAGTTTATGAACGAGTGAAAAAAAAAATGTATATATATATATATATATATCATGAGGTTGTACATATATATATATCATATATATCATGAGATCCTAGCAATTAAGCTGCAAGTAAACATATTGAACTGAGAAGCACAACACATAAAGGCTTTGACGGGATTCCCGCCGGTGCCTCCAAAATATCAGTCGAAACTACCTTCCAAATAAGCCAAATCTCAAACGCATCTAACGAGGGTCTAGTATTCTGAAAATAGATACTTTTAGTCGACTTCCTGATCACCCGAACTCAAATGCAAATTATTGGATTTATGTGAAATAGTCATCATTGTGAAAGCTGCTAACCCTTTTACAAGCTAAAATCAGCAATCAGAATCCAAACTGTGAAATTGGCCAGGAAATTTTATTTTACAATCGAGAATCTTCAGTCGGCAATTGTTCCATCTCTTCTCATGACCTTAATGTTTGATTCAGCGTTGTTTCTGTTGGACGAAATTCGATCTTAATCACTCCTAGGAACAACAGGGTAGAGGTGTAAGTTATTGGTACCTCGATCACTTTCACCGACAAAAGTCCTTTAAATACTCAGTATCCTAATCCCTTTTTCTTTTCTTTCATTTAATATATGCACTACAAAAGAAAAACAATCATGTGATCGTTAAAGCGTAGCAACACAGTTATTAACGAAATGTGGCCTGGACATTCGATGAAGCATATTTCTTACATGCACGGCCACAAATTTAGCGTAGTGCAGTTTCTCATAGTTCTTTTTATAATTTTCATTTAAATCCGAAATTAAACCTTACTAGGCACCTTAAAGTTGATCTGCATCAATAAGCAATTAAACGTTCTTCTTGTATATAACCTTGACTGAAAGGAAACTCTCTTTTCGAATTCGATGTCGGAGTCATTAAAAAAAAGTGCAGATATAACTTCTTTGGGTGAAATGTTGAGTTTGCCCTCGTTTAAACTATTTTGGCAATGAAAGAGGCTGTGAAGCTGGTCAAAGGTTGTATCACCAGGCCAGAAAGCGATTAGATCAGATATCTTATTATGGTTGGTTTGTTAGCGGGTGGTTTTGTTGTCTTACCCATTAGGACATACACCACTGATAATTATCATCCAGGACTTAATTGTTATAGTGATTTGTTGGTAAATTTGTCAGTATGTTTATTTTTGTTATACATGCTATAGTGTTTCAGATAAACACTCATGTTGTTCATTAGCAAATGATTATTTGTAAAACGGATAATACTGCCGGTTTAAAACTTTGTTTGCCGTAATCACTGCCAATATCATGATATTCAAGGGTGAATGGCCGCACCCCAGATAAACAAAACACCCTGTCGTAAACCACTTAGAAGGGAATCAATAGACTAAAGGAGGATATCGATTATTCAAAGTGGTATCGACTGGAAACAACTTAACGCTGGCTCGCCGCTGTTATGATGTTCGCCCGTTTTGTATTGTTTCTTTGCCTTACATTTGTTGCTATACCAGATGTCTTAGTGATTCATTCGAGAAACCTTCACACCGGTAAAGTACATCAGTTGTGATTACATGTTTAAGAATTTGTAGCTACGTTATAGATACCAAAATGAATATCTCCGTTCAGGTGATCCACAAACGGGTTAAATAGTGTCACATCTTGCTTGAAATTCGATCAGTGTAGAAAGACTTTAGCCATACCAACCATATTATCTTACACATGAACTGATTTCGCAGTCTGTCAATGTGAAGCTTGATACATTCCATCATTATTTGTAGCTCTGACTTGTGTCTTTCACAAGGGCCACTCTTCATTTTGATTGAAGTTTTTACCATCACTACAGCAATCAAGAAGCTCGACAAGGATTACAAAGAGGACGATGGCGACAAAGCTTCTCGTGCAAAGCTACTTTGGGAGCTCATTTTGACAAGAACCAAAGTCAGACATAAAGAAAGTAGGCAGCCTCGTCCATTGCGAAAGAGTTTGAAGGTGTACACTCTTCCTCTGAAAGTTGGTAAGACTTTATCTGTACCTTTACAAAATGCTGTTAGCTACTTATTACGTTGCTGCTTTTTTTCAAGCATTTTAATGTTATGTAGCCTCGATAAAATATTATGGAATGGACTGTTAGTTCCTTTAAAAGTTAGAATCTGGTGGCTCAGATCGAAAAATGTTTAGATTTGTGAGTATCTTGATCTGTTAGCAGCGTCCTTACCACAGTTAAGTGACCAATCCATCTCCCCCGCCTTTTGAAAAAAGAAGAAAATGGATTATGAGGAGATGCAAAGCTCCCTCCGCAAAGCAATTATCGTGCATCCCTTCCAAGGATACCAATGAAGACTAAGCATTAGTTTCCTAATTCATGCAAAGAACCACCATCAATCCCAAAAAAGATATGTTAAAAATCCCTAATTTGCAGGACTTTGCAAAGACCAGCATCCGTTATGTGGTTCTTATGCGTTAAGCGGACTTTGTGATTGGCCTGGACTTTTCCAAGACCTCCATAACATCCATGAGACATGCGCATTTTCATGTGGATACTGCAAAAAGTACGTAACAACTAACGAAGCAGTTAAAGTTTTATTTTAAGCTGCTAAGAAGTAAACAGGCAGCAAACTCTTTCGGAACCATTTTATAAGCCACTTGTCGTAGCTTAAGAACAAGATCGCTTGCTGGTGTAGTCAGGTACAGCCAAGTTCCCTACATGGTCTGAGGATTTAATTTTCTTTTTATCTATAAATGATGCTGATGCTATTAACATTGTCATCCCTGTTATCATCACAAATATCATTACCATCATTAATATCGTTAACATGATCATCATAATCGGTATCGTCATCATCGACAATTTCATTAGTATTGTTATAATTCGTTCAATTATGTCTATTTTTTAATTTTTATTATTTTTTTCCTTAAGGAACTTGCGAAATGGAGAAGTAGATTTTGTTGGAGCTAACTGGAATTCACCATAATGCATTTACAGTTCGGGTTCTTTCACGAGACTAGACAACTCTATATCATGTGAGGGCTGAACGACGTCTACCATGACCGAACCATTTGGATTGATATGTTTTAAACTTAGCACTCCAAACCAGGGGGGAGGGGGGAAGGGGGGTTGTTAAGACCCAAGTAGTTGTTATCCTCCGTTTCTCAACCAAACACAGTTCAGGAAATCTTGGTAATATCTAGTAAGATTATGTCCACGTTGTAACTAGTTTATGTTCTACAAGAAAGAGAAAGACAACAATGAAAATTGCTAGGATCGATATCTATTGTTCCCATTAGGATGAGAACTTTTCCCTAACTTTTGTTAGGTTCTTCAAATCGCTTGATGTTCTTATATTTCCTTGCATTTAATACGTTTTGGTAGAGATAAATGCGGAACTAAACGAGGAATAAAAAGTAAGGTTTTTGACAAATGCGCTTTTACAATGTCATTCCAAAGGAAAGGAAAAATGAAAAAAAGGAGTAGGAAGTGATAATTGAAGTTCTGGGAAAAGGATACATTGTACCTATCACGTCTGACCAACCTTTATTCTGGTAGATTGGTATGTGGGTAGTGTTATTGAAGAATAAAGAACTTTTAAAGTTGGCGGTAGTTAATAATTGATGATAACCTTTAAGTGCAGACCACCAGTTAACTTGAAAAGACTTTTGTTGGTCTTATATTGACATCTGAATGAACGGGTCAAGTGTTCTTTTCTACCCACTTAGTTGTTTAACTAGCAGAAGTAATTTTGAAGATTTCTTGTCGCCGGGGAAATTGAATATAACGTTAACATAACGATGGCTCACGAGAAACATAATACCGGGCTCATATCAGTGGATTCACAATGAGTAACTATGGTGAAAAACGTCCACATTTTGAATATTTTACCACAAATGCACTATGTTTCCATTTTCCTTTTGGCATACACTTTTTTGTTGGAAGTAGTAAGCGGGGGACCAGGATCACCACAATTTAAGGATACTTCCGGTACGTATATATTTCGTAACTATTTTGGGATCTAGACGATTTCTATACTTACATAAAAAGTAATTACACTATGATTGTCTGATAACAAATGTTTTCCAAGTCATTTCAGTTTAATGCATAACTCAAACAAGCCAATAAACATCATGTACCTCGATGATTCAATTTTTTTTTCGCAAGCAATTTAACTTAGGGTTATCGCTAGATCCCTTATCAAAGAAACCTGAAACTGAAAGATAAGACACGCCATTGGATATGATTTTTTCATTACTGTTTTCTTGTTACAAAATAAATTTACTCAGCTTCAATTAATCGGCGAAAGGAAAACTAAAATACAGACAAGTGTCCGGTTATCCTTGCTAAATGATCATCTCTAAGTTCATTAAATAATCTTAAACTTAATTAAAACGATGTTTTTCATCTGCTGCGGAGTAAGAAAAATGAAAAATATGTGAACCCCTAGAGGCTTCGTCCCACGCTAACGAGAAATAACCTTGATCCATCACCAGCGACCGAGCGCACACCCTGCCATTTGGTCTTTTACGAAGTAATTTCTGAGTCATCCAAATATTCTTTACATTCTTTGTTGAATACCTGGTCATTTGAAGGAGGCTATTGTTAGAAGGCCCCAATTTCATTTTTGCAAAGTGGCCGTGAAAGGCATAACAGAAAATCCCTGATTTTGGGAGAAAAAGCTTATTTCGTTTTTGTTACCGTTTAGGATTTATATCATTGCCAGATGCGTTTGAATTTTAAAACGGTATGAAAACAAGTTATTTAGTGTGAACTAAATGGTACTAAGCAAAAAGATTTCTAGAAAGGAGTAAGGCTTGAAAAGCGGGTAATATATATAGAGGATACTGGAGAGGATGGTGGATAACTCTGTTAGGAAAATGTAGTTGAATCGGAGGTAGCTAAGCCAATTAGTTATTGTAAAAAAAAAAAAAAAGGAAAACTAGGGTAATTTTAAAGGCTGATAGTTTCTAAAGAACCTGCTTGGGGCTGCGTCGGTGGGGGTAACGAAACAACAATTTGGATATATCAACAAAGTTAAAATGGTAAATTGGCTACCGTAACGATTACAAAAGCTGACGTTTCGAGCGTTAGCCCTTCGTCGGAGCGAATGACAAAGGGCTAGCGCTTCGACGAAGGGCTAACGCTCGAAACGTCAGCTTTTGTAATCGTTATGGTGGCCAATTTACCATTTCAACTTTGTTGATATATCCAAATTGTTGGGTAATTTTAGGCTGGCGCTGTTTTATTTCTAGAAAATATCATACCTATACAAGTGTACGTCCATTTCATTGAGCATCACTATTCTTTTGATTCTACATCGATGTTTAAATGCTTATTTAATTCATTTTGCTGCCCTCTATGTCATAATAGGATTGAGTTCATAATGAACCAAGATGAAGCCAAAATACAGGAGTTCTTTACTAATATTCGATCGTTTTTTAGTTTTATCTTCCTTTCATCGTGAACGCAGATGGTTAATTGAAAAGGTACGTCCATTAAACATAACAACGTCCTCGGACAGCTTGAGGTACAACAAATATGTGCAGCTTTGGAAAATTAGACAGTCCCTTGCAGCCGCTAGGCACACTTCCTCTAAAACCTTCGTTAAAAGATCCTCAGACCGGGACTACCTGGATAGGATTGCGTCATTCATCAAGGAGAAGGAAGATGCATCGTTAAGACCAGCTGGTGAGAAAAAGAATAATTTGAGCTCAGTTACAAAAAGCGTTGATCAGAAATTACTATGATAGTAAATCAGGGTAGGGCGAGCGAGAGTAGGGTAGAATACGACATCAGATTTCCTAAAAGGCAGTGTATGTTCAAGAATAACGGGCTGTGAAAAATTCCTGATTCTGCTCGTAATAAATGGTTTCTGACCAAACTTTAGGAAAGCATTTCACTTCTTCTTCTTTTTCATTGTCATTTTCTTCTCACATCTCTTCTTTTTTTTATAAGCAATTGCCTCGAAGAAAAATGAGACTCGGAGCGCCGTATTATACATTAATGATTTTTGCAAAGAATATTCTTAAAGGGTTGCACGTCCTAAAGCTAAGCTCTTTAATTATTTCAGGTTCAGCAAAAGTGGTTTTCTTACTAGATGGCTCAGGTAAAATTGGCAAGAAGGAACTCAACTCGTACAGACTGTTTGTGAAAGAGGTGTATGAAAACTTAAACATTCCTACGAGAGGAATCACTTTTGGGCTTCTAGAATGTGGCAGTAGACACTACACCCAGAGAAATATCCTTCCTAGAAATATTCAAAGTTCCAAAGTACTTGACCTCACACTCGACAAGCTTGTCCCCGTGAGTGGAAGTTGCGAGTTGGGAAAATCTCTCCAAATCTTAAACAAAAATGTTTTTGTGAAAATGCCAAATGGTTCTCCAAAAGCCGTGGTCGTGGTCATGGCTGGAAAATCGGTGGATGAAGTTCATAACGCGGCAAAAGAACTACGCAGAATAGGTGTGCGAGTCGTGGCCATAGGTGTAGGTGGTCAAGCAGATATGAAGCAGTTGGCAACCATTACTGATTCTCCATTCTACGCTTTCAAGGTTCCGGTTGTCCAGTATTTGCCTGCAATGTCCGGTACAGTGGTTGGATTTTTAAATGAAGGTACATGTTTGTCCAGACTAAGAGTAATAGCAAGTATTGCCATTGCCTGCGCTGAAATCAAGGCACAATAGAAAACGATCGCAAAATCTGAGATATATTATTTTGATGTACATATAGCTATTATCAGCGAACGAGAATCTGTATGTTCCCGATTGAGGTTTTCGCCTAAAAAAAGAAAATAGAATAAACAGAAATAAAAATGGTGTACTGAAAATCATCTTCATAACATCTTTGCCTACATCGCTCAACTTATGAATGATGCACAACAAATCTCATATATCTAGAACGAAATAATGTATTAAAATGTTCCTATTCTTTTATTTTTGTCGCATCTCTGTTTCACCAGTTTATCTCTACCAAACTCATGACTTTCAAACATAATCATGAGGTCTTTCCCCAACTCATTTCATGACCCCTGACCTTACATTTATACTCATGTATGTACGTACCATTTCCCTTGAAAACATGATTTCTCTATATCTGCACCTCCACAGTGACCGACTCCAGGGTGCTCAGTGCAAATTTAACTGTTCCTGATCCGTCCGCTATTCAAAAGGAGAAACATAGTGGCTACTATGATGAAGAAAAGTCCACAGATGCCAACGAGATCGAAGAAGCTCCCTACACAGATAACGACTTGTTGCAAGGTCTTCCACCGATTCTTGACCAATTAGATGGGGATAAATCAGGTTGGTTTGGTAAAATCTTTTCACAATCCTCACCTATGATATACTTAGTTTGAGCTGAGATGATCAATCGTACTTATGGGTACTGTTTTTATTCAATCTAAAGCGATAGATTCTTGGATCTCCGCCTTGGGAGGTGAGAGTAGGCAATATGATGCCTCATCCTCGGACTCAAATGTTCATCCTTCTCAAAGGCCACCAACCACAGGAAATTTCGGCACGCATCCCACACACCATACCTATAATATAGGACCACCTCACGCAGCCGCCCTGCTAAATGATTGGAATGATGAAGGATTTACATTGAATCCGACGTCAGATGCAGAAAATCCGCTCTATAGTGTCAATAGCATTAATGATAGCCCACATTATGTGCTCCAAGACTCTGCATCAATAACTCAAGTTCCTGTGAACCCATTACCAAATAATAATGGGTCGGAAGGACAGGTATCGCCTGGTCAAACTGGTGGAAAGGTCACTACTCAAGGATCTGGCACTAATGGTGCAATGAGTCCGTCTACTGCTTCTACAAATGGATCGGTACAAGGTGGTGTTAGCCAGGGACAAGGAACAACAGCCGGTAGCAATGGGGCAGCCAGCCCTCCTATAGCAGGTAATCCTATTCCGGTGGGTGAAAACCAAGGAAACGGTATCCCCTCCGAGGCATCACCTAGCAGTAACGGGGTAGGCAGCCCTGGTACCTCAGAAAATCCAAATCAGAAGGGTGGAGGCCAGGCGAATGGAGTATCAGGAGGAGCCCCAGCTGCTTCCAGTAGCGCAGTCAGTCCGGGTACCGCAGCCAATCCAAATAAGGCGGGTGGCAACCAAGTCTCAGGATCAGTTCCCCAAACAACAACAGGCAGTGTGGCGAATCCTAATAGTTCAGGCTCAAGTACCAACTCTGGACCAGGAGGAGGAGGAGGAACTTCTGGTGGTGTTTCCAGTCCACTAGGTGGTACAGAAATTATAAACGAAAATCACTTTATAAATTCTCCTACACGTCATAATTCGGAAAATATATATTTAACTTACCCTACTGAACAAAATAAATGGAGCTATTTTGCTCTTGCGTTAACTTCGAGGCGAGTGCTATACATCATTCAAGCACAATTGTTGTATTTCCTACTCTCAAAAGCCGGAGCACACCAGGGATTTTGAGACATAACTCTTTTATATGAAAGAGGTATGTATAGCTGATCTTCGTTTCAAACGTATTTTGAATTTGTTACAACAGGTCCGGTGCCGGTAATTCAAGCCCCATTGTTATCTATACCAGTCCTTCCAATTCAGACCATTCCGATCCAAGCACTTCCATCTATACAGACAGCAGGATCAGAAAATTTCCAAAAACCTAAGCCTCAGACCGCAAATAATACAAACCAGCGTGAAAGCAACGGAGAAACCGGTCAGACTCCTACCCCAACAACTAGTAGCGCAGTTGCAGCTCCAAACAAAGGCAACCAGGTGGGTAATAACGAGAAAGGGCCAGGGGAGCTCCGTAAACCGTCAACGTCTCCAGGAAACCAAAATTCCTCGGGTACTACCACCTCTAAACCAGAACAAGCAGGAAATGGTAGCAACCAAGCACTCAATCCTTCAAAGCCAACACCTACGAATAAAAGCTCAGCAAAACAGGAACCTACGAGTGCACCGGCAGAAACTTCAGCTAAATCAGGAACTTCTGAAAATCCAGAACCCACCACTCCTCTAGCGGGTACATCTAATAAAGAAATCAGCTCCGGAAAAACTCATAGTTCGAAAAACAAACCAACTTCCACGACCGCTATTAAGGGTGGTGCCCCCGATAGCAACTCTTCGCATAAAAAACCAAGCATTAAAGAAGGCAGTCAGTCACATCAACAACAACCGATCGTTTTATGCCAAATAGTTTGTGGCCCTGGCTGTTGTCCACTTATATCAAAAACAAAACCAACTGTGCCGACTACAAAAGAAACAACCACTCTAAAGCCGAAGAAAACAACAAAACCAACAAAAGAGGCTGTGCCGGAGGTGTTGGCAGGTCCACCTGTACCTATACACTATACCCAGAGACCAGGGTGGTTCCCTCAGAATCCTGCTCCCTTGCCCATTCCTCCCAACTCCCTGCCTCTTGGAACTGATCCTGGAGCAGGGTCAATAAATCCTCGACTGGAAATGTATATGAATCTCCCACCTGCAACAAGTGCTCCTAAAATCAGCTCATTTCCCAAAAACAATCATGACATATTTGCTGGTAAGACCTAATTAATAAAGAATAGTACTCAGTTACTTATAACCTTTTTTATTATTTTTCTGAGTTTTGTTTTCATGGTGTTTGTTATTAATTTGTACGAAATTTGAGACTTGACCTACTTAACCACACCTGCATCAATAGTTAACTCCAAAATCAATTAATGTAAGGCGATGATTCGTGAAAGGATCATCGAAAAGTGACCTGATGGGCACATGGTTCAAAAAATACTTTCGCTTGTTCTTGTCTAGGTCATTGCGAAGATTACCACCCTGACTGTCCTTCTTTTCTTATGAGTGGCCTTTGTGATCAGCCCAATCCTTTTCTAGAGGTATTTAATGTTCGTGAGGTTTGTATGCGTTCGTGCGGTGTCTGCAACAGGTACGTTTGCATAAAGGTGGCGCATTTAACTTAACTTAACTTAATAGATGGCGTATTTAACTTTTTGATTTAAAGCATCAAGCATCACTTTTCGGTTAAATGCACCAATATTGAAGAATCCATTTGGAATTTCTCTCACAAAATGCTACAAAGACTTTGTCTGTTCTCCACAACTATCTAATTTTGTGGTTCATGGTATATGAACTATTATTAAAAACTAGATCATTAGATAATGAGGGGTTGCAACCCAACCCTAACCGTTTTTGTTACAATGCACCAAATGGAAAAGCTTTTACTTTAAATAGTTAGCATGTTATGTCGTCTATATGAAATGTTAATTTTATGGAATACATATGAAGATGTGAAGGTGTAGTCTGATCGTCCGGGTGAGTGTATGAAGTACATATGAAGATGTCGCTGCTAAGAAGCAAGTGACGTCATTCAACATGGTCAACGTTTTTACATCTCACATTTTCCATTATAGGTTTACCGTATTTCCCTTGTCATCTTTAAAGCTTTACTTTAGTCGTTGGTCATATCAATTCTTAAATCAAACCTCACTTGTCATTTAGTATCCCCTATATTTTGGGGCCGCATTTCGACAAGTTCACAGCACACAAGCAGCTATTGAAGTGAACAGTTACCCAGATAAAATCCTCTCGATAGAATTTAAAAAATCGTCCAAGAGTTAAAATTCTTTATTCATGATTTTTATTGTGTTCCACAGCTTCGTGAAACATGGACAGAAAGATACCTTCGGCTTGCACAAAAAAGAAAAGAAGCCAGAGGATATTGGATTTCCAGAGTACAGCAAAAAGTTTCTTTGAAGTAACGTGTGAGAAATTCAGATGTCTCAAGAGCTGCTTCGATAACCGTTGAATTTATTTTGAAAGAAAAGCATGTCTATTATATATAAAATTGGCTTATGTCATTCTTGCGCAAATGAATTTCTCAAGCACTACTCCTGCTTTCGTTTCAAAAATAGTTCATGTTAACTTATTTGTACGATTATGCAAATATTTTAGTGTGCATTAATAGAATATTAGAGAATAAAAAATATTCATCCTCAGATATGCTGAGTTTGCCGAATAGTAAAGCTTTGATGGGTGGTAAAGCGAGTGTAGAGAGTTCACGTGCAAAGGAAAGACATTTTATTTCATTTTTGGGGTTGCTTTACTGGGATCACATCTATCAATCTCGCCACGGCAAGGCGTGTTATAGTTGTCAATCATTTTATAGCAGAGGTTGTGGCTTTAGCTTTTTAATTAGCTGGTAATTAAAATGAGTATCTCATCATTTGTTTTTATCATGATTCAACTACCTAAGAGAGCGAAATAACAAAAGTCACATTGTTCAGTTCTCAGGAAAACTGTTTTACAAACCCTAGTACATTGACTTCTCTGAGTTCAAAGTTATGAAATAATGTTCAAGCTAAATATTTTAAAGTATCAGCGAAAAACAGCCATTATTTAGTGTTTATTCAACTGTCAGCATTTTTATGAAGTACGGCTTCAATTGATTAATGTTCATGAATGGGTCGCAGACATGTGGGTATGTTTCTGTTTACTTCAATTACGTGTAACCACCTACCAAACCCCCTCCACCCGCTTCCCCAACTCTCTTCCCTAAGCAGCAGATATATCGTGGAACCTATGTAACTTGTGCCTTGACGTATGTGCTTGTGCTTCACGAAAGTGCCTTTATTAGTTATATACTTTTATACACCCTGTTAGACTGATTGCTACCAACAAAGTCATTATCCATCGTAAAAAAGGAACAAAGAAAACGTCAGCTTTTGTAATCGTTACGGTGGCCAACTTACCATTTCAACTTTGTTGATATATCCAGATTATTTCGTTACCCCCACCGACGCAGCCCCAAACAGTTTCTTTAGAAACTATCAGCCCTCAAAGAAAAGGTGTGGTTCGATCAGTTCCTGATTCATCCTAGAAAACAAACAGGCAGGTAATGTTACACTTCTCTAACACCTCAGTATTTTTTATGTTCATTGTCTCGATATATTCTAGTCAATAATTAACACTCGAAAGTAAGTCACTGTTAGTTAAATGGCCAAACCTATGTTTTCTCGGATGATTTGGATGGAGTTTTTGTCGTATAAGTTATTCTTATGTTGTTCGTTGAGTATTGTTTGTACTTCAGTTGAGACCAAGCCCAGAAAAATTTCATTGAAAGCGAGGAAACGGTATGTGCTGATTAAAATAAAACGCCGCAGATACAAGAAACGTGGCAGCAATACATGGTATAAATTTAGATAAAAATCACTATACTGTGCGAACCTCGGTCATTTAAAATCTCATTGAATTCGTTTTGGAGGACTCTGCAAATTGTTCATCAACGAAGACTTTGTAAAACATGGAAATCTGAGCTTGTTGCTTTCCTGTTGTCACTTATACCACGTTATTGGGCAAAAGACTTTCCTTCTAAATTGGATGTTCTCAGGAAAAAAAATTAAAACTGATAGGAGGTTACATGAGATCTAGATGGGAGCGGCAATATTCCGAGTGGGTTAACGTTAAAATACTAGGAAAAAGCTCTGACAGCCAGGCAATTAGGCTTGTCAGCTCTCTCTAATTCGTGATCATTAGGCTATCAGTGGCAGAATAATCCATTTGTTTAGAACCGACAGAGGACAAAATGAGATAATTTTGTGCAAATTGAAGTCAGAGTAGTTAGACACTTTGAAGACCAATGACGATTTTCTGTAGGTAGGTTTACCTCAAAACGAACATTGACCATGAATACTTATCCTATAGTTTCCTCTTTCCTACAGCAGGTGGTATTACCTTCAGTGGAGATTCTGGGGCAACAGAAAGTAAGTCTTTCTCATAACGCGTACTTTTCACTTTGGTCCATAGATAAATGCCGATCCTAAGTGATCGAGCAAAATCCGCTGTGATCTTAAACGCGAAGTTTCGTAATCACGAAGGGTTTACACCAGCTAGTCGTTATTTCTCATAAGTCCTGCTGTTTCGGAATTTGTTTGTTTAAGCGTCGTTCTTTCCTGGTCTGTGTGTGTTCGTTTGCTTTGATTTGTATTGAGAAAAAAGAGACAGGAAAATCAAATATGTTCCAAATATGACGCACCACCAATTAGGGAAAGAACAACACCGAACTTTTATCAACAGCAGTGGTTGTTAACTCCTTCTCTGATAGATTAACTGGCGTGTCATTCATTGTAAGAATGTCAGCATGAAAACAGTACACCGACCAACGCGAATCACTTTTTTCATATGATTATTTTTAAGTTTGCGTTCCGTGATGTGCCGCTGTTGCATTTAGACTCCTGGGTTTCTTTTATCTAATTGCTCTCTTCTTTCTGTCTAGTAATCATTGACCTGAGATTTATGATCGATGGATCATCCGCTGTGGGAAGAGAGCAGAACTTCAAACAAATTATCAAGTTTGTCAGCGCTGTAGTCCATGCCTTTCCACTCGGCCATTATAAAACTCGCGTTGGGGGTAGTCCTGTACTCCTCCGCAGATTTAATGAAATACCCCCCCGGGACAAATTCGGCAGAGAAACAACTACTTTATCTGCGACGTGGCTTGGAGGTCTGTAAACACTTCTTATTTGATAGCAGGCAACTCAGCTGACAGCGTTGCTACCCAATCGATGGATATCAAATCATATGGAGTGGAAATCTTCTGTATTGGGGTTGGGAACGTTGCTAGTGATTGGCAACTCAATGCAATGACCAGTTATCCCTCTAATGATATCTTTAAGAGTAACTACGAACAAATGGGGAAGATTGCAGAGCTACTCGTCGCTAGGATTCTGAAAGGTAAAAAGAACATAGTTTATGAATTTTAGTTTCATTTCATTAAACGTGAAGAGCTATGAAGTATCGCTGACTTTATGCACAACTAAACAACTTCTTCTTTCTATTTTTGGCTTCCGCCTTCTTTTAGGTATTTTTAGGAACTATTGTCGCCCGTACTATTGCTATAAGTCAACAAGTCTATTAAGCATTTAGAATGATCAGTCGTAATTCACAGTGTTAAAATCATTTCAAAAATTGTATTTCTTGGGTGGCGTTTCAACTCGCTATGCTAACATAATGACCATTCTATTAAAGGTTATCAGGATTACTGTGGATACTCTCTCAGTTATTTGCGACAGAAGAAACGCGTAATAATTCCAACAGTAAACAAATACGACTGCTCACGTCAGTCCATTGTTCAACCACTGCCACGTCATCATCATTATCATCGACCACGCGATGATCCTTATAATCGCCTTCTCAGCAGACGTCGATGCTAGACGGGTTCATCACTGATCAATTAAAAGGAAGGGGGAGCTCAGGACGTGAGGGGAACTAAGATTAAAAGCATTTCTTTCTAGTTTATTGTCGCTGGAAGTTCAAATATTGCGAAAACAAAAGAACAGAGTTAAAAACTGCCAACTACTATTAGCTAACTACCCTACTAACTAACTACTTCCTTTATGGGGGAAAGCTCGTACGCTTTTCAGTAATTTCCTAATCTTTGCTATCACAATAAGGGTGTATTTAAGACAAATGCAAAGATACAGGAGCTCCCTTATTATAAGTTTTACGCATTGTACAATCGCGCTACGAGAGATGGTACCTAGGTTCAAACCATTTGTTCTTTAAAGAGGTAACCCTTTAAACAAATCTTATCTTTGCTATCACAAATCTTATCTTAGAAGGTACTATTGCCTGTTTTAGATCTCTCTTTTTTTTCTCCCTTTTTGGTTTCAGGCTCTTTTTCTTTTGGTTTCTAAGGGTACCTCAGCAGATAGGGTTTAATAGATTTTTGTCCCTCTATGTAGATGGGAGATGACAAATATTCTTATTGCTGTTGGCGTTAGTTCTAAATCATAAGAAGTAAAGATTCACTTTAGTTTTGACGAGATCAGCATCCGTTTGTATTCTCCGGAATAAAAAATGTTGTCGCTCTTGAAAGCCTCACCTCACTCAGTGCAACCTGCTATACGCAGTAGACTATAGCTGAGGGTTATCAAGGAACACAACCTTAACAACGTAGGTATACGTGGATCACAAACAAATCCCAAAGTTTGAAAATTATTACCCTCGATTTGTACATAAGAGGTCCCTGGTTCAAAACCTCGACTCCTCATAAATTTGCGATTGTTCGAGTTAAAAGGAAATAACTTTGCAGTACCTCTCACCAGCTGGCTGATTAATACTGGCTGATCAATAATATCCGAATAAAAGTCGTCTTCCTTCGCTTCCTCCTCGCACAAAATTGCGCTTGATCGACGATAAAGTGGAACTCAACATGGAGGTTTACCTCAGAAATATCGTATTTTGTACCCTTGAACGTGTTTTTTCGTTTTTAAAGTCCTGTTTGAGTATTTAGGTCCAGCTATGTAAATCGCTTTCCTTTGGATGTTAACCTTGCTCCGTTTCTGAAGCGATGCACATACTTTCTGTTGTTTTAATCAATCAAATTTTGTGCTAAGATAAAATTGGTGGATTCATTTCCATCATTCATTACGCGCGTTTTGAATATGCGAGTACGGTTATAGCCAACTCACTCTACCATCTAATGTCCAACATCTTTTGGTTTTTTTTTTCTTTCCTCACTCTTGAGATTTTCTTCCATGATTTTAAACACTTCACGGGCCAAGCATTTCAGATGTAAGGAGGACTTCTCTTGCCTTTGACTAGACCTTGGCACCAGTGGTTCGTTTTGGAGATTGGAGATGGAGACTGCTTTGTAGTCGATAGATAGTACAGGCCATCTCTCCTGAACTATTTTTTCGATAAGAAAATCAGATTATCGTCAAATTATTGGAATCATTCATGAGTGAATGGATCTCATTGCCTACCGGGTGGCATCTACCTCATTACTTTCGGAAAGGATGTCTTGATGAAATTGTGTTTTCTCAGTTGCTATAAGAATTTCGATATTAGATACCAAAAT